TACAGACTGGCCAATTTGATACTGTCTTCCCCCCACCAAAAGATCTGCTTGGGTGGGGAACTGGATACAGACTGGCCAATTTGATACTGTCTTCCCCCCACCAAAAGATCTGCTTGGAGATTAAGGTCAACCTCCTTGCTTTGAATGGTTTGGGGAGGGGGGCGACCATACTACGAAATAAAATTTTGGTCAACCAACTTTGAGAGTTGCATTTCTTGACAGAACGATATGTCAAAATTTTGTAACTGAGAGGAAAGTAATCAGCAACTCTTCACAAGCCCTTGAGCTTCATGATAAGACCCTATGGTTGTGAATAAAGAAGCATTCACCAACATGAGGAAAATTATTATTATTAATGGAAGAAAATCAAAATATCTGCTTTGCATTAACGTTACAAGACATGACATGGTGCATAGTGATTTCCTTTAGCTATGATATCATCTTTTTTAGTGTGTCATCTTTTTTGATGCGCAATACGTCTGAATATTGCACATACACACTCTGTAGCTGTAACTGTTACCCAATGGAACTTCGTTTGTGTGAGCAAATTAAGTTTCCAATGACATAAGTAATGAATGATAAGGAGCGATCCAACCTAGACAGATGTCCTACTTGACCGAATGACTGCCATCTTTATAGGTGTAAACATATGCTGGGTCCTGCTGCTCTTGTAGCATGATAATGAGTAGAGCAGAGTAGACTCTACTCTGCTCTACAGTCTACTCATGATAATGCTGTAGGACCCAGCATGTTGACACCTATAAAGATAGCAAAGCAGACCAAGAAGTTTTCACTAACCATGGAGGTAGAAATTCTACCTCCATGCACTAATCTAATAAGTTCTTACCTTTGCTTACAAGTGCACCATGATCCTTTATATATTGTCCATAGGTTCAGCCAGCTGTTCAAACGAGTCTCCTCCATCCAGAAGAAAAGCGGAGACTTCGACATGCTGCTGTGTGTGGGAGACTTCTTTGGGATCACGGCCGGAGCTCGCACCGAGTGGCAGCAGTACCTGGAGGGCAGACAGAGGGCGCCGATCGCAACATACATCCTGGGAGCCAACAAGCCTGAACATCTGGAATTCTACGGGGAGGAGGATGGGGGTGAACTCTGTGAAAACATCACATACTTAGGTATCCAGTATTACATAAAGACATGCCCATACCACACAGTATTCTTGTTGCCACTAATACCTTGAGAATCCCTCAGTGTTACAAGGCTATTTGCCTGTTGTAACACCCTCTTTTCCCTCTTTCTCAGTATTTCTTCTTGTCCCAATGATTATCCACTCTTATTTTGAAACTGTTCACACTTTTGGCAGTTGGTACTCAATACACACTGCTGGGTTCCACAGCTGTATATATGTAGCTCTTATCATAAATGACTGACATCTCACTGTTGTTTTATCCAGCAGGACATAATGCCCGAAGTTTTCACTTAACCCTAAGGCACAAGAAAGGCTATCATGCATTCATCTAAATAGATCCTGGTATGTACCTCCTTTCCTTTTATTTTTCAGGTAGAAAGGGAGTGTTCACAGGGGCCTCTGGACTGCAGATAGTCTACTTAAGTGGAGTAGAAGGAGAGGCAGAAGAAGGCTGTTGTTTCTCCAAGACTGACGTTACAGCTCTTTGCGAGTCCCTCATAAACAAGTAGGTGAAAAAATATGTAAAAATAATCTAATTTTGTGCTTCATTGTATGATGAATTGTTGTGGCGCCCATATTTATTGGCATGCTAAAGAAAAGTTGGAGAGTTTATATCGTTAATACCCTCAAGATTGTTGCCTGTGACTTACAAGTGCACAAATATTACATTACTTTGAATGAGATGAGATTTTTTAGTAAACAGAAAGCAGTTTAACTTTAAGTTCATTTCTCTATTAACAGGTGCTTTTCTTGTATTGTCTTTCTATTTTTGCAGAAATTTCAAGGGGTGGACATCCTATTGACGTCTCCATGGCCAAGAGGAGTCACAAACTTTGGGAACAGTGTGGAAGGTGGCAGTGCTCCACAGGGGTTGGTCACTGTTGCAGAACTGGCCAAAATCCTTCGGCCCCGGTATCACTTCAGCGGACTGGAAGGTGTCTTCTACGAGAGACTTCCCTACAGGAACCACAAGGGTGCTTGCTGAGAGCGACAAACACGTCACACGCTTCCTGGCTCTAGCCAAGGTGGGCAACCCGGAGAAGAAGAAGTACCTGTACGCATTTAACCTGACCCCATTGACTAACATGGACCAGTCTGAACTGGTAAAGCAACCTCATGATGTAACCGAGTGCCCTTACAAGTCTGAAACGGGTAGGCAAGAACAGTCTCCAGAAGGTGAGGAGGATACTGGGTTGCAGTACCGCTATGACTTGTCAGGAGGAGCTCATGGACAGGGCAGGAAGCGAGGACACCAGGGAGGAGACAGGGGACCTGGTGGGGAGAAGAAGTCCCGCCCTCCCCCTAAGCCCACGGGTCCCTGCTGGTTCTGCCTGGCCAGTCCTGAGGTGGAGAAACACTTGGTGGTCAGTGTGGGTGACCACACCTACCTGGCACTGGCCAAGGGGGGACTGGTGCCTGACCATGTGCTCATCCTTCCCATTGGTCACTACCAGTCGATGGTAGAAGCCACGGCCGAGGTCCATGAAGAGATTGAGAAGTACAAGTCTGCTCTACGCAAACTGTTCCAGTCCCAAGGAAAGGAATGTGTGTTCTATGAGAGGAACTATAAGACACAACACTTACAGATCCAGGTGAGATACATTAACTCAATGTTAACTTTCAAACTTCAATGACAATGACACCTACCTGTCTAAATTGCCCTTACATTTCCTAATGTTCAAGGTGTTAGACATACTGAGACAATACACTCATTAGACATTATTATTACACATAAAGAGACAATATTCTCATATCATCCCAATATTCTTCCCCCGACACAGGTTGTTCCAGTGCCCTCCCACCTGTCTGAGGATGTAGGAGAAGTTTTTCAGGAACAGAGTCAGATGAAGAACCTAGAGCTGGCCGAACTCCCCAGACACACCGACCTCAAGCAGGTCGTCCCCTCGGGCGCGCCCTACTTCTACCTTGAACTTCATTCCGGTGGCAAGTTCCTCCACAGGATAAGGAAGTTCTTCCCTCTACAGTTTGGTCGGGAGGTCATGGCTAGCTCCCCTCTCCTGGACATGCCAGGCAGGGCAGACTGGAGGAACTGTAAATCCTCCAAAGAGGAGGAAACAGAGACGGCAAAAATTTTCCGTAAGGCATTCCAGGGTTATGACTTCAACCTGATGTAGTTTCTAATGTACATGTAGGTGCCTCAGAGGTAGCTTTCACTCAGAGGTAGCTTCCACTCAGATGTAGCTTTCACTCTGAGGTAGCTTTCAGTCCATTTAGCATTTCTGTACCACATTTGCTAAATATGTACTTATTTCTGGTATCATACTGTTTTAGATGGATCCAAATTGACCACTGTAAATAAATCATACATGTATTGGTAGCATGAAGAAACAACTTTGGAACTTTTTTTATTTTCTGCAGAAGGGACACTTTTTATTTCGATGACAAAATGATCATGAGTATTTGATGTTTTTTATGTAGTATAATTGTTTCAAAAGCCTCTACGACTGAATACAAAGCTTGCTGGTTGTACTGTTGTGTATCATGTCTTTAATGCTGTTTTGCAATATTGTTCTGTTTTATTTTATTCATTAATTTTTGCTCATGAAATTCACTGTTAAGACAGTAGTGGCTTCCAATGGTGTACATGATGTAAATGATGTTTGATGATGAACATGTTTTAGATTTTAATAAAGTTGAGATACTCTTTTAGCCATGATTGTTTGTTGTAATTGGAGACATTGTGTGTGTGGTGCAGTTTGAGGTTTGAGACCCAGTGTGGTCTTGTATTAGGACAGTTTAGGGTTTATTCTGGGTCTCAGTTCGAGTCTGGGTCTCAGTTGAATTCTGCACACCCTCAATCTAGCAACCATGTACTAGTATTTCAGGGAATACATTAATAAACTCAGTAATAAGTTCTGTAAGTATGGGAGTGATGAATATCCTTCTGGCTACAAGAACAACAGAATTTTAATGTCAACCCTTAGTAAATGTTTTTGGGGAAAAGGATTGTCCAGTGAAAAATGGTGCGAGGAATTAGACATTTTCACGTAGAATAGAGAAAATCACAATAAAAATCTTTAACTAAGCATTTCTGGAAAACTTATTCTTCCGATAATGCCCCTCTGCCAAGAAATTACTGGCATGTTTTCGTGGCTAATACGAAACGAGGGTTCGCCAGCCCCCAGCCAAGGTACTGGTATTTAAGTAGTTACAAGGCTTGAAAACTCACCAGAGTTACACCGAACAGAAACACACTGGCCATGGCCGTCCATATCAGCCCCGATGGCCTCCCTGTAAAGTCTTCTTGAGCGGGCTCACTTGGGAAGGGGTAAACAAGAGACTGTTGCTAGTGTAGAAAACAAGTGTTGTGGCGTTCTGGAACATCTTTGACAAACTGGACATGCCACCTTGGTTAATTTCTCATGTGTGGAAGATTAGCAGTACTGTTTACGACTAATGCAAATGTTTTAACGGATCTGACACAGAATAAAAACAACAAACAATTGAACTTTTCCTGTGTTATGTGTTTTTTCCCTTTCTTTTACGGATGATACGGGCCTGCATGCACGTACTGTTCAGCACCTGGGACAGGCATGTTTGCTTATTTGTGTGGATGGTCCCATGGACAGAGGCGTTTGCCTGTGTGGAAATCTTAAGTCAAGAATACTGATAAGTCTTTACGTGTGTGTGGATGGTGTTCAGTAGTATCAGATACAGGTACGTTTACTTGTGTGTGGATGGTGTTCAGCAATATGGACAAGTTTGAAAGAAGTTTGTAGTGTTTGGCAGAGTATACAAGTCGGAACTATCGCTGTTAACCTTTACGTGTAAAAATAAATGCACCGCGTTTCTTTGTCAAAGATGTTCCAGAATGCAGAACGTCACAACCCGGTGTTCCACACTAGCAACAGGTTGTTGTTTACCAGTTGTTCGAGCGACACGGTTCGAAGCGGACGCACGTTTACGTGGTCCCATATCCTTCACCGATTTTATCGCTCTGCTGCAGTATCCTTTGCTCCCAACATGTCGAAACGACGTGGCAGGTGTAACAGGAGATCCCGCCGTCGTGCGAAGATGACTTTCCCCGTTGAGCCCGGTCAGGAGGAGCTGACAGGACTCCCGTCCTTGCGGATGTGGGCGGCCATGGCCGGTGTGTTTCTGTTCGGTGTAGCACTGGTGAGTTTTCTGGATACGTCAGTAAACTAGTAGGCACTCCTATACTAGCCTTTTTTAGAAATCGTCAGCCAAATGTTACATACGTATATATTGATTCTTGTCTCGGTCACCAAATATCATACTAGTGATAAGTCTTGGCTTGGTGATGCCTGCATCTGCGTGTTTGTTACTGTCTCATTGATCGGAGGGTACCGGTGTCAGCAGTCAGCAGAAGATATCTATTTTAAAGTTTCAATTTTGTCCAGACAACTAAACCGGTGATTAAATGTTCAGTGTTTTACATTTTGATCATAGTCAATGTCTCTATCTATTTCTAGGTCATTGGATTGTCGGTAACGGAGTCTACCCATGTCGAAGCCCAGACTGCTGTTGACGTCCGTCTGGACGGAAGTTGGGCCCACTACCAAGGAGAATTCGCAGATCCTACTGCTGTGGACGAGGCTCCCCTTGACGACCAAACGCCCATCCAATCAGATGGGGACGACAGCGACTGGTATCTAACGACCCTGGACCAGAAATACCAAGTGCCTGTCCGGGATCGTGTTCCGGGAAGGTCCCGTGATGTGGACGTGCCTGGTGACGGTGGGGTTAAATGGTCCAGTAATGAGCTGATGTCGACCCACTACGCGCACACTCCCCAACATGTGAGATTTCTGGTTACTTTATTATAGTATCTCAAAGTTTCCATTTCGGACGTTAAAATACATAAATAAACAATTAGATTCTCAGTATTTTACATCTTAATCATAATCTATATCTATCTGTATTTCTAGGTTATTGGATTGTCGGCAGCGCCCACCCATGTCGACACCCAGGCTACCGTTGACGTCCGTCTGGACGGAAGTTGGGCCCACTACCAAGGGCAGTTCGCAGATCCTACTGCTGTGGACAACGCTCCCGTTGATGATGAAGCACACACCATCCAATCAGATGGGAACGACAGCGACTGGTACCTAACGACCCTGGACGAGCTCTACCGAGTGCCTGTCCGAGCCCGTGTTCCAGGAAGGTCCCGTGAGGTAGAAGTGATTGTCACGGCCCCCCAAATATAGCTAGTGATAAATCTTGCCTTGGTAATGCCTAGCCTGCATCTGCGTGTGTTTGTTACTGTCTCATTGATCGGTGTCAGCAGTCAGTAGCTATATATAGACAAATACATTGTTTATTTACATGTATTTCAAAGTCACCATTTCGTCAAAACACCTAAATCAGTGATTAGATTTTCAGTGTTTTCACATCTTAAAAATCTATTTCTACATGTATCTTTATTTCCAGGTCGGAGATGGAGTCCCGGACATGGATGACAACCAGGATGCACCTGGCGTGTCTGCGGCCCTCCCGGATGGTGATCTGGATGGAGATGACGACTGGGAGAAGAAGTACAGCGATGAGCATCTCAACAGCGGCGACGAAAAACGTCCCACCTCTGCCATGACGTCCGGGTACAACAGCTCTACCGGCATGTCTGCACGAGACGACTCCTCTCTCCTGGATGGAAATGACGTCGACCCTGTTCGTGATGAAGAAGAGGGCACCTCTGTGGTGGACGCGATGACTCTTGAGAACACTAACTCCACGGTCTTGGCAAAGAATCCCCAGAACCACGACAAGAACCACCACGTCCGAAAGAATCCGGTCAAGAATGCCGACAAAATGACAGTGATCGTGATGGTCGGTACGGTGGTGACATTCTCTGTGGTACACAGGCATCAGTGTATGACACAGATGCCCCGTTGGGTTTAATAGAACTTCACGACTAGTTCGTGTGCAGTTCCTCCAGGCATACACTTTCTCACGGTGTACACCGTGGCTACTTAGCCATCATTGTACTCGAGTTCGAAAAAAAAACCACTTAATATACGGTACCTACGTAGATATTTGCCCTGGTATCCAATACTACAACTCTGTTTCCTACATTTCTTATATACTTTTCACGCAGGACCATCGGTCCTTTTGGCCATGGTCGTTGTTGTGTTCAACATGATTTGTGGCTGAACAAGTTAGTATGCACACACCGTGGGAGACTACTAGTATCAGAAACTACGCCTTGAACAAACTACCCCTTGAATGGTCGTTTACATACTGTGTGTTTACTTTCGAGGTTATATGCATTCCATCCTAAATTCGGAATAATTACTTTTAATTTTGGGAGGTGTCATCCTCAAGATCTAGTCCTCAGTGTCATACCACAAAACATTTTGTTTCCTTCACTATTACGCATGTATTACTTAAGCTTTGCGGTGTAGTTGCAAGAGGGCGCTGTGACACTGCTACTACGTGTTTTTTCTACGTATGAAAGGTATATATGAAGCAAATGTAACACATTTTACAGAACTATATTATGTCCTAGTTGGTGGATGCCAAGAACAACAGAAATGTAAGAAGAGAAATTAAGTTGATTATGTACCAATCCACTCTGGTAGATATGATGACATGAATGTGTAATTTCATGGAACCAAATGTGAAATGTTGTCTTCCACACAAACAGCCCACAAATAGTAGTACACCCAATAATGGGACCTTTAAAACGTTGTCAGTCCCACAGGTATGGACAGAATAAAATTCTTCATGCAAAAACCCACGTGAGTGAGTGAGGACATCAATAAACATAATTTATTCAAATCATGCCCTCATTTGCATAATTTATGAGAAAGTGCTATAATGGCCTTTTTGTTAAGATAAGACTGTCATTGGGTGGAGAATATGATCAACTGATATAACCCATGCGAATGAGGCTCTTATTTGCAAAATCAATGATTAGAATTGTATAATTCTTCAACCGCAAGGGTAACCATCATTTGGCGAAGGTATGAGATCGTGGAACTCTTGTTAATGATGATGCTATTTGTATTTCAGAAAAAAAATGATGAACCTACAGCGATCGTTTGATCAAGAAGGTAAATTACAATTATGCCAGCAACGATATCGAAAATGGTGACAATATCCTATACATTACAAAAGTCGCCAGCCAAATCTACATGTACGTCAGAACGAGAGTTCCTTGTCTATTTTCCGCCAATCTTCACTGTCCGCCATCTTTACTTTCCCATAATTCGGTGTGCCTTACAGTGTACAGTCAGTCATTCCTGTAGCCAATCTACACTTAACGTAAGTTACCATCTTATTGATGAGAATGCTAAACTGACATCTTTATTTTCCCATTAATCAACTTCTCTGATAGCATCATCGCAAGTATCTACAAGTCCCCCCTCTGACTGGTCTGTCTTTCGTTCATCAGTAACGTAAATATCTGTGCGATTTGACGTACATGTACAGTCTGTCATTCCATAAGCCGTCTGCTCTGTACATAAGGACTTCCTGACAGCCGAATTCGTCAAACTACGGTTAACGGAAGCTTCAGTTTTTATATCCGCATTGTAGATGGGAATGCTAGCGCCTACATTTCCAGTTGAATCACTGGCGTCTTTTTGTGGGACGTGGCCAAATGAACTATCAATGTCTTCGTCTATTTTGTTGCGTTCATGTGCAGGAGGAGAATTTGAGACAGGTTTGCTTTCTTCTCTGTCATCATCGTCTTTTATTTCGCTGTAGACGTGTCCCGATGGAACGTACACTTCCTCCTCTTTGATTTGGTCGTACAAGTCACTGTCTGGTTGACAGGAGTCTTGTGTGCTCCCTGATTGCAGCGTTACTTGTGTAGAGCCTCTGTACATTCGGTTCACTTGTAAGACACTTGTGATATCCCCACTCGCAAAAGGTGTGGGCAAGTTTGGTCGGTTGGTTTTCATATTTTGATTATTATTTCTGCGTCTCTTCGCGGCGTAGCAAAACAAAGCAATGAAACCCATTATTATAACTGGACTTGTTAATACAGAAATCACTATAAGAGGAGTCTTCGAGTCAGTACGACCTACTTCAGAGATTACATCTGTTGTTGCCGGCCTAACTGTGATGTGATGTGTTCGGGGGATAGTCGGTTCATTTGAGGACGTCGTGTTTTTTGATGTTCCACTTGCATTAGCCTGAGAAACGTGCTCTTGCGATAGACATTTTGTATCGTCTACTTGATTTGTTGTGGACGCGTTGAAGGACGACATGGTCACGTCCTTGTGATCGCGAAGAAGAGTGAAACAGGCCACGCTGGACTCATGATCAGAGTGTTGCCTGACTCCGCCTGGAGAGTGAACCGTTTCGTTCTTCTCAGTTTTCGCCACCAAGCTGAAACCACCTGATGTCTGAGAGACGCCCGTGTCTACATCAGAGAACTTTAGACTTGACTGCCCCTGCAGAGCCAACGTCACACCGCCTGACGCCGCCCAGGCCTCTGAACATTCGGTTAAAATAGACTTACGAACCCCTAAGTTACTCTTCCGTGCTATGATGACGAAAGGAGAGAAAGACTCGAAATGGCCTGATCGAAGGGCTTCTGACAGGGGATTACAGTGGTCTACGTCACTTGGGATGGTATGCTTACTTGCTAGAGTTCCGGACCAATCGATTGCGAATTTGTCGTTAGTTAATCTGTTTATGTGTAAAACGATGCCGATAGCCTCAAACCGTATCCACTGTTTGGAGCGGAATGAACGCATAGGTTCGGGTCCTGTGAATCGGTTACAATGTAAGCATGGACCACAGTTTTCCAACACAAGTTTCCATGCCACAGTGTCTACTTTGGAGACGCCAAAATGATTTCCGCTTAATGTGAGTATAGAAAGTGTTGGGAGGGTGAAAAGTATTTTGCTAGACACACACACGAAGTCGTTGTCACTTATGTCCAGAAATTGCAGTTTCTTTAAATGCTGAAAGGCACCGAGTGGGATAATTTCAATTTTGTTTTTACTGAGGAATAGTCTATATAGTCCTTCCAGTCCAATGAACCACTGGCTATGTACTTCGCGCAAAACGTTACCGCCCAGGTCTAAGGAAGTCAGCTTGTTCAGATGTTGGAAACAAGCGGGAGCGAGACTAGAGATTTTGTTTCCAGCAAGAGAGATCTTTGTGATGTCGTATTCTTTCGGAGAATATGACGCACCGTACCAGTTCCTGGGAATGTGTGTCAACTCGTTGTCGTCTAGATTAAGATTTTGTAACCGCAAAAAGTGGACGAAAGTAGCGCGATCTATTTCAGTGATTTCTGTATCAGTAAGAATAAGGGTGCTGAGAGAAGAAGGGTCGATCATGGCTAGATTTTGCGACGATAACATTCCGAACTTCAAACCTTTTAAAGCAAGCCAATGCGCATGCAGAAGGCACTTTCCTAGTGAACTAGTTGAGTTTTCAACAGGCGCGCTTTGCCCGTCAGTACAAGAGATGCACACCGCTTTAATATGGTGGTTGATCCAAGTATAACCGTTTCTTCCATTGTCCATTCTATTCCTGGGTACACACAAATCTATCCTTGTCTCCTGACACATTGTTGGGAAGCAAGTTGGATCTGCTGAGACGTCGACATTGGATACCGTTGACAAGACTAGAATGATCAAAGCGCCAACTTCTTGTGGAGAATTCCAAACCATCGTGACGACTGGACTGTACTGTTTTTTCAAAAGACAAACTATTTCATTTCATTCACCGCAAAACTAGTTCTCTATCTTAACGTTTGAAGCGCCTCTACGGTTATATTTTCAATTTTGAAGCAATTGTAGTTACACACTTGTTTGTGAACAGGTACAATGTTAAGTTTATCCGACTAGAAACAGTTATTGGTGAGTGTTCTTGCCACGCACATGTGTAGCGATTTAACTACTAGTATGTTTTCATCCCGATTCACAGCAGAAAATTCTCTGGCGTTAGAGCGTGAGTAAAGAAACAAATTGCTGTACCTGATTTTGAGGCGCTGGATGTTTGAAGATGGAGTTAAGCTGCTTTGTTGCCACTGGAGTCTTTTTTTGGAGTCACTGTGACTATAACCGGGAAGCTTGGTTACTACTAAGTGCTAAAATGGGTCTCCGATGGTCCTTTGCATTGGTCGACGTCTTTCTTGCCTGTGTTTGGTTGACTACTCAGACTAGTACGTTGCTAAGCAAGGCCTATACAAAAAGAAAAAAAACATTCCTTTGAAGTAAAAGGATTATTCACCGTGCATCAGTGACGCTACCAAAGACCGATGACGCGTGACGACTCATCTTCCGAATTTTATTCAGAAGCCCAGACTTATTTAGTTAAAATGTATGTTAATCATATACACGCAATAATCGATATGCAGCCAGGCAGTATGACATACATGTATACCTTTACATCAGGTTTGACAGAATTTTGGTCACTCCCTGGCCGCCGTTTTCTTTTGCTTTGAACAGACACGAAAAAAGACAGGTTTACAGTTCCTTTGGCTGTCAAAACAACAAACTTGTGCACATTTCATTTTGCAATTTTCATTTCAGTACCAATTGTTTTTCAATCATACCTATCATCAAGGTTGCAGTCAGTGAAGAAAATTGGCTATGCTTGAAGCACATGTCCTTCAGTGTGATAGAGCAGGGTTGGAGCAGACCCAGATACATATATTCATAGAAATGAAGCGCTACATTTCTTTGGAAACAACATATTTTTAACAGCTGGACATTGGTAGTTTGCAATTGCTGTAAGTCGTTGTTCATTACTTTACATGCTCTCTGTACAAGCTGTACAAACTACAAATACAGTGTCATACATTTGCAAAGAAAATGCATAATGTTTACCTTCAAATGGTCTGCTCTGTTAATTTTTACTCAAACACATTCATATATATGGTCACAGCAGTCTAAATCCCTCATGCTATAAAATTGCAACATGATGTAAAACCAACACTAGTTTCCATGGTGACAGACATCTGGTACAGGTCATTGACCTTATTGGTTTGGAGAAGAAGAGGAAGAAGAAACAGCAAAACCACCGTGGCAAAACACTAGAAAGTCAAGTCTGGTCTGTCTTTCTTTCATCAGTAACGTAAATATCTGTGCGATTTGATGTACCTGTACAGTCTGTCATTCCATAAGCCGTCTGCTCTGTACATAAGGACTTCCTGACAGCCGAATTCGTCAAACTACGGTTAACGGAAGCTTCAGTTTTTATATCCGCATTGTAGATGGGAATGCTAGCGCCTACATTTCCAGTTGAATCACTGGCCTCTTTTTGTGGACGTGGCCAATGAACTATCAATGTCTTCGTCTATTTTGTTGCGTTCATGTGCAGGAAGAGAATTTGAGACAGGTTTGCTTTCTCCTCTGTCATCCTCATCTTTTATTTCGCTGTATACGTGCCCCGACGGAAGGTACACTTCCTCCTCTTTGATTTGGTCGTACAAGTCATTGTCTGGTTGACAGGAGTCCTGTGTGCTCCCTGATTGCAGCGTTACTTGTGTAGAGCCTCTGTACATTCGGTTCACGTGTAAGGTACTTGTGACACTTGTGATATCCCCACTCGCAAAAGGTGTGGGCAAGTTTGGTCGGTTGTTTTTCAGATTTTGATTATTGTTTCTGCGTCTCTTCGCGGCGTAGTAAAACAAAGCAAATGAAACCCATTATTATAACTGGACTTGTTAATACAGAAATCACTATAAGAGGAGTCTTCGAGTCAGTACGACCTACTTCAGAGATTACATCTGTTGTTGCCGGCCTAACTGTGATGTGATGTGTTCGGGGGATAGTCGGTTCATTTGAGGACGTCGTGTTTTTTGATGTTCCACTTGCATTAGCCTGAGAAACGTGCTCTTGCGATAGACATTTTGTATCGTCTACTTGATTTGTTGTGGACGCGTTGAAGGACGACATGGTCACGTCCTTGTGATCGCGAAGAAGAGTGAAACAGGCCACGCTGGACTCATGATCAGAGTGTTGCCTGACTCCGCCTGGAGAGTGAACCGTTTCGTTCTTCTCAGTTTTCGCCACCAAGCTGAAACCACCTGATGTCTGAGAGACGCCCGTGTCTACATCAGAGAACTTTAGACTTGACTGCCCCTGCAGAGCCAACGTCACACCGCCTGGCGCCGCCCAGGCCTCTGAACATTCGGTTAAAATAGACTTACGAACCCCTAAGTTACTCTTCCGTGCTATGATGACGAAAGGAGAGAAAGACTCGAAATGGCCTGATCGAAGGGCTTCTGACAGGGGATTACAGTGGTCTACGTCACTTGGGATGGTATGCTTACTTGCTAGAGTTCCGGACCAATCGATTGCGAATTTGTCGTTAGTTAATCTGTTTATGTGTAAAATTATGCCGATAGCTTCAAACCGTATCCACTGTTTGGAGAGGAATGAACGCATAGGTTCGGGTCCTGTGAATCGGTTACAATGTAAACATGGACCACAGTTTTCCAACACAAGTTTCCATGCCACAGTGTCTACTTTGGAGACGCCAAAATGATTTCCGCTTAATGTGAGTATAGAAAGTGTTGGGAGGGTGAAAAGTATTTTGCTAGACACACATACGAAGTCGTTTTCACTTATGTCCAGAAATTGCAGTTTCTTTAAATGCTGAAAGGCGCCGAGTGGGATAATTTCAATTTTGTTTTTACTCAGGAATAGTCTATATAGTCCTTCCAGTCCAATAAACCACTGGCTATGTACTTCGCGCAAAACGTTACCGCCCAGGTCTAAGGAAGTCAGCTTGTTCAGATGTTGGAAACAAGCGGGAGCGAGACTAGAGATTTTGTTTCCAGCAAGAGAGATCTTTGTGATGTCGTATTCTTTCGGAGAATATGACGCACCGTACCAGTTCCTGGGAATGTGTGTCAACTCGTTGTCGTCTAGATTAAGATTTTGTAACCGCAAAAAGTGGACGAAAGTAGCGCGATCTATTTCAGTGATTTCTGTATCAGTAAGAATAAGGGTGCTGAGAGAAGAAGGGTCGATCATGGCTAGATTTTGCGACGATAACATTCCGAACTTCAAACCTTTTAAAGCAACCCAATGCGCATGCAGAAGGCACTTTCCAGATGAACTAGTTGAGTTTTCGACAGGCGCGCTTTGTCCGTCAGTACAAGAGATGCACACCGCTTTGATGTGTCGGTTGAGAGAAGTATAACCGTTTCTTCCATTGTTCATTCTATTCCTGGGTACACACAAATCGAACCTTGTTTCCTGACACGTACTTGGAAAGCAAGTTGGATCTGCTGAGACATTGGATACCGTTGACAAGACTAGAATGATCAAAACGGCAACTTCTTGTGGAGAATTTGAAACCATCTTGACGACAGGACTGTTCCGAAACTTTCGTCAGAAAAGATGTCAAACTATTTTATTTCAATCACCGCAAAATCAGTCCTCACGTTTGAAGCGTCTCTTCGGTTATATTTTCAATATTTAAGCAATTGTAGTTACCCACATTTTAAATTTGTGGACAGGTACAATGTGGTATGGCGCGATCGACTAGAAACAGTTATTGGCGAGTGTTTCTTCCGCGCACATGTGCAACGATAAACTACGTTTTCATCCCGATTTCGCTACAGAAAAGGCTGTGGCGGCTAAGTGTGAGTAAAGAAACGAAATTTTATACCTGATTCTGAGGCGTTGGACTTCAAAGAGAAGGAGGAAAGCTGCTTTATCGCCGGAGTCTGCACCGAGGTGCCGCGACTATAGCCGGAAAGCTTGGTTACTGAGTACTAAAATGCGTCTCCGATGGTTCTCTGTATAGGTGGATGTCTTTCTTGCCTGTTTTTGTTCGGTTGACTACAACATGTATGTTGCTAAAGCCCAATAAAAAAAATCAGTGGTGCGCCTTCCTTTCAAGTAAAGGATTGTTCACTGCACATCAGTGATGCTACCAAAGAGACACTAGCTTCTGACGCGTGACGACTCATCTTCCAATTTATTCAGAAGCCCAGACTAATTCAGTATGTTCATCATATGCATGTGATTACTGTATGCATCCAGGTTCCAGGAAGACAGTCGGTATTACATACATGTATTATCATATACCTTTACATAAAGTTTGACAGAATTTGGGTCACTCCTTGGCAACCGTTTTATTTTGCTGGGTACAGACATGAAAAGGACTAGCCTGGGTGCCATCCTCCGTAGTTTCCGACCGCTCCCTAATACATAGTGACAGGGGGAAGCTTATTTTGTTACATGACGTTATAAATAGTGAAGTGCGACAAGGTTGCAGCGTAAGTAGAGAAACAAACTCGTCAATAAAGGAACCAACGTTTACAGTCTTTTATGTAACTCTTGGTCGTTCGTTTGTATCACGTGTACGGCCTCAGCAGTTCTAGGAATAGCCTTATCATATTTATCGGAAGGTGTCACGTTTTATTCATGTATACGGCACGATTGTTCCAGAAAATAGTATACCTTAAATTTAAAGTTTGACGTATACGGTGCAACTTTTGATTATTAGAAACACAATACAATACTTACGATATCAAAGAAGGAACCAACTTCTAAGGATTCTTTTATATAAATGCTTGGTTATAACCAAACACTGTCCGTGAAAAAAGGCTACCGGTATGTTTGTTGCACGTGTATGTCCCTGTTTGTGCTAGGACTAGATCTGTCAGAAAGCGTCACGTTTTATTCATACATACTGCACGATTGTCCCTGATATCAAGTACAGGGTGTCCCAGAAAATAGTATATTCCCAACTTTAAATTCTAGTATGTTGCAGATCTTGGTTAAGATTAGAAAAACAATGATATCATGGTATCAAAGAAGGAACCAACTGCCATAGATTCTTTTATATAAATACTTAGTTATAAGCTAGTACTGTCAGTGAAAAAAAGTCTACATATGTAGCATGTGTCATATTGTCCCTGGTTGTGCTAGGAATAGCTATCTGTCAGCTAGTCTCACGTTTTATTCATATATACTGCACGATTGTCCCTGATATCAAGTACAGGGTGTCACAGAAAATAGTACATGTAACATATAAGTTTTGTGTAACATTGTAGCTCTTTCTACTTCTAAAAGTAGAAAAACAAACTTCTGATATCAAAAAAAGGAAGCAACTTCTGTAGATTCTTCTATACAATGCTTGGTTATAACCTAGTACTGTCAGTAAAGAAATGCCTACATTTTTTGGCATGTGTATGTCCTTGGTTGTGCTAGGAATAGATATATATGATAATATGTTAGAAAGCGTCACGTTTTATTCACATATACTGCACGATTATCCTAGATGCATATGTCATGTACAGGGTGTCCCAGAAAATAGTATACCCAACTTAAGGCCTATCATTAATGACTCATGAACCTCATCACTATAATAGTAAGTTTTGCATAAAGTAAAACTATTAATTAATATGCTTTCTATTGATGATATGTCCATATGACAAGTTTGCATCCCATTTGGATACCTGTACGAAGTACACAACTCGTCTGAGCATTGCAGGGACAAGGTTGAAAAATGGGTTTAGACACATATCCTCTATATACTAGTGTCTAGTTACAAAATGCACATAAGAGACATGATTACCTACATATACGGGGTCATCTTTTGTCACCAGCCACTTTCTCCTGGTCTCACTCTAAGCACTAACCGGTTACTAGAAGTGCATAAAACTGCTTCTTTATGTTGCTAGTAAGTCAGAGTGTAAACTGTTCTAATTCCAACAAAATCATTTCAAGATCACACAATGTCTGAGCTGCCCATGACATAGCCAGTGGAGGATTGATCAGTATTGTAGTACGTTTGTCTCTGAAACATGTAGGGCATGGGCTGAAATGGCGGCCATCTTGGACGTGTCATGCCGAGGTCAAGGTCAGCAGCTGACTGGATCAAACTAGGATCAAGTGTATCTGTCCAGCTGGTGTCACGAAATACAGGAGACGGGGGCGTCACGTGGTCCGATACCGCGAGTTGTTCCAACGGTGGGGCGAAGGCAGGGGTTGTGAGGAGGGACTGTTCCAATGTGTGAGGAGTGTTGGTGAGTGTCAAGTCACCTTTCTGGTTCATCTCTGTAACATTCTGTAGGACACCAGTCCTAATAGTGATAGTACTTTCTGTGTCACCTATGTTGTGTATTGCATCTGACACATTTATGCTACTGGTGTTCTGTGCTATGTCAGTATTGTTGTGTGGAGCTGTTTTCTGACTTGGCTTCTGTTTGAGCTGGTGGGGTGTTGTAGAGTTATTTGTTTCCACATTTTGGGTATTACTGTCTGAGTCTGCTGATCTGATGGTACGTCTAGCGAAACATTTCACCCTCCCACCTCTCCCATGTATGATGTCCATGTGCTGTTTCAGGTGGGTCTTGGTTTTAAATTTCCAGTCGCAGAGGTCACAGGGAAAGGGCCGAAGGTCACTGTGCTTCCTCATGTGGTGTTTCAGGTCCAGTGGCATCTTGAAAGTCGCTCCGCACACAGCGCACGTGTGGGGCCGTCTGTCGCCGCTGTGCATGCGTGCCATGTGTGTGCTCAGGTAGTTCTTCAATTTGAAATGGAAGCCACAAATTTCACAGGCATGTGGCTTGCTGGAACTGTGCGTTACTTTCACGTGACGGTTGAGCTCCCCTAGTATCGCAAACTGATTCCCGCACTCAGAGCATTGGTGGGGCTTCTCGCCGTGTCTGCGTACATGAGATCTGAGTGCCCGTGCTGTTTTAAACTGTTCCCCACACACTGCACATAAGTGACTGCTGCCCTCTGCATGGACTTCTTTGTGCATTCGGAGAGTAGCGGGCGTTTTAAATGTAGCGTTACAGTCCTTACATTCGAAAGGCCTATCTTCCGTATGTACAACCATGTGAGACCTCAGACTACTCTCTATCGTAAACTGAGCACCACACTGTGCACAGAGATATGGCTTCTTCCCACTGTGCTTCCTCTCGTGTAGCTTCACTGCTTCTCTGTGTTTGAACCCCTTGTTGCAAACTCCACACATGAAGGGACGCTCTTCAGAGTGCACAATCATGTGGCGCTGCAAGTGTCTCTGGAGTTTGAATGCGGCGTTGCACACGTCGCACGTGTGTTTCCTCTCGGCCGTGTGTATGTGGAACGTGTGGCTGTCCAAGTTCCCCTTGGAGCTGAAGCTGACATTTTTGCACAGTACACAAGAAAATGGCTTGCTTATACCATGGACAGTCTTCATATGCTTCCCCATTCTGTGCAAGCTGGGGAACTTTGACCCACAAATACTACACCTTTGGTCATCACTTTTTCTTTTCCTTCTCACAGACTTTGGCTGTGGAGTCCACTCTACAGATACGTCAGAGTTTTTGTCTGACACCTCATCCTCCAGATCATTATGTTCATCTTCCTCTTGCTCTTCATCATTTTGTTCCCTCTCCATTGGTGATGTATCCTGAGTACTTTCCTGACATTGCCTTTCAGATACGGACTCACAGGTATCAAATTGTTCTTTCTGAGGGATTGCACAAGGCTCCTCTGCCATTTTTGCTCCTGTTCCAGACTGGCTCTCATTAAGTTTGCCCTTGTGCAACTCAGTTTTATCATCCAGGAAAGGTCTCTTCTTTGGAAGTAGATTCAAACCACTGCCAAAACAGTCACTTCTTTGTGCAGTACCAACATTCCCTGCAATGTCACAAGAGAGCAGTTGCATGTCATCCCTATTTCCTGTGTTTCGTTCTGCATCATTAGAGATCTGTATAGCTTTACCATTGCAACCCTTAGATTGCTCAGACAAAGCCCTGATCATTGCATTCTCCAAGGCATTTCCCTCTTCTGCACTGTGACTGCCAAGTTCAAACATACAAGAGTCACCTCCGGTGTTATCCTCCATCTTTGTTAAATCAACATCAGTATCTTGGTAATCACTGCACATCATGTTGTCTTGAGATCCAAGACTTCTGTTCTGGGATGTTTCTAGCTCCTCCCTATCTTTCTCTGAAGGTAGATTCCTTGATTTTGACTCTTTAGTTCTTGATACATTTGTCAATGTATTGTTTGTTGCTGGAGTAAATGGTTTGTTGGATCTGAAAAGGATAGCAAGCATTATCATTAAGTACTCTTGATACACAAATTTAAATGAGGAAACAAATGGAGCAACTTTGATCAGTACTTTAGAATCTTAGACAAATTTAGGATACCTAAGTGTACTGAAATGTATATGGAGGAAATATATGTAGCAACATTAATCAGGTGTAACCAAGTGGGTGAAATGAAATTGCTATAATTTGCTAATTTTTTCAAGTAATGACATTGGTGACTTCAAACAAACCTGCTAGTCTGGTACACCTGGAGAAGGTAGGAGGCAAACTCAGAGTCATTCTTGAAGTTTCCATCTAGCTTTAGCTGCTGCCACAAGTCCATGGACTTGCCTATATACACCATACATCTGCAAAAGTTCAGATGGACTTAATATTCTTGTCCAACATTACAAAGACAAGATATTTAAAGTATATCAAATTTTGACGGTAGGTAGACATGATCATGACTATATCAGCATTTGAAATATGTCACTTGTGGCTGCTACATGTAATTATTTTTGCAACCTCATTAAGTATTGATAATGAAGCATGAACATCCTCATTTTAATAGCCTGAGCACAAGATAAACATTGCCTGATTGTAAAAGAATCCGGCTGACCCACAACTCCTCACATAGTCCGCAGGTGTTGATGATGTTATTTACTACATCAGACAGAAGTAACCAATCAGGATCAGTCTCCAGAGAACCAACCTGGAGGAGGATGGCGTCCGTGCGGGATGCACCTTGGGTCGTCCCCGCTTCCTGCCTCGTAACTTATCACCTGCATCGGCCATCTGCAATTGTTGACACATTCAAATAGTTATATAATCTAACGTTATATGTTTTTATAAACTGCAGAGTGGCTTTCTTGGGATACCATATCTTAAATCTTTCACAATGTTTACACAGAGTAAAAGATAATCTAATCGAGCTCTGACCATCGACTTATATCACACCGTTTAATAGAAATGAGAATATCGTGAATTTTAATCATGGAGGTAAAAGAGACTTTTTTACCTCCATGTTTTAATAGAGAGGGCAACAAAAATTATATTCCCCACCCCCGAAAAAGGCATCTCACAAGTTTTGCAGTTATTGTAACGTTAGCACGACATACCTCAATCAATTGTACTGTCGCCAGCGTCTAGTGATCCTCCAGACTGAAGTTCAAAGCCATAATAATGTTGACCAGCTCGTGCAGGGTGCCATAATTTCTTGATTTTTGCCTTCGCGAGCTGCAAGTCGTGTAAACATTCACACACGGGTTAAAGGTCAAAGTGAAAAGGTCAACACATGGCGGCGCGCTCGAAAACATTTTCCCAGTTTTCTTGTTTTAATAGTCTTTATCTTCACTACAACTGAGTAAAGTAAAATAGCTAGGATTTGGTCACATCCTCAGGTGTGTGTTTAGCACAGCTAAGTGCGATGTACCGCACGATTGTAACTTCCTCTCACATGGAAAGATGCCCACCAGTAGCAGCAGCGCTGGGTGGAAGGTCGTCTGACCTCCGGAGGAAAATTTCTGGTCAGACGTTTCGGTACAACATGTGTCGCCAGAAACACTACCGACTTCCAATCTCAACGACAGACCCGTTCCTACCCAGTGCCAGCGAAGTGCTAGACGTCCGCACGCCGGCTGAGTTTGCAGAGGACCACGTACCCGGGGCACGGAACCTGCCCGTCCTGAGTGACCAGGAAAGAGTGGACGTGGGGACTCTGTACAACGAGGATTCCTTCGCAGCGAGGAAACTAGGATCAGCTCTCATCTCTGCCAATATATGTAACGTCATTTCTCGTAAATTATTCCACCTGGTATCCTATTGCTGCTTGTACATAGATTCAGTGTTGTCCACAATATTGCTTGCAAAAAAACTACACCTTCAAAACTTGTTAATGTTTTCTCAGTAACAAACAAAAATCTATGCTGCATGTGTGTTATCCTTTGTGTTCCAGCTACTATGATCCAAGATAATTTCTTAGAAAAACCCAAGGACTACACCCCACTGGTGTACTGCTGGAGAGGAGGGCAGCGGTCAGGCAGCCTAGGAATTGTACTGTCACAGATAGGCTTCAAGGTGAGAGATCCACTGAGCACCTAAATTTCTGTAAATTCAAAGCCTCTAGCAGGCACCGCGGATCACTGGAAAAATAGTAGAAATTGGCGGAAATAAAGGGATAGTATACCAGAGAAGATCCAGGGCCATAGGAGCTCCAACTTGCGACCAACGGAGTCGCAAATTGGAGCTCCATACTTGGCAACCCACAGAGTCACAAATTGGAGCTTCTATGGCCCTGGAGCTTCTATGGTATACTATCCCTTTATTTTCTACAATTTCTACTATTTTTCCAGCGATCCGCGGTGCCTGGTAGAGGCTACATTGGCCCTACACTTTTCAAAAATACCCCGGTATGCACTGGTAAAATCACAGGCATGGTGAACCACATTTCACTATCAGCCAATAGCAAATGCTTCACTGCAAAAGAGTATGTCTGCTTTACCCATACTTAATACAACTGTGCATCCACAGGTCTATTTGCTGGAAGGAGGCTACCGTACATACCGACAAACGGTGGTGAGAGACCTCCAAGAGCTGCCAGCAAAGTTCAAGTTTCTTATGCTGTCTGGCATGACAGGTGAAGTTAACCACAAATAATTACAGTACCATTCTAATACATGTGTACATTTGTAGCTATTTGCTGCCTAGTGCTCCACTGTGTATTGTTGTTTCAACTTGAATAATGTAAAGACAAAGAAATGATATTCACTCAGTACTACTGTGTTGTTTTCTCCCAGGAGTGGGCAAGACTTTCCTTCTGCACAGACTACAGGAGCAGGGGGAACAGGTGTTAGATCTGGAGGGAGCTGCCAGGCACAAGGGTACTTTCCAAGAAAAATAACAACTGTAGGAAAAATGTCATTGGGAAAAGGAATGGGTTGCTTTTGCCAGGAAATAAAGAAATTCTTCACTATTACCAATTATAACGTTAATAGAGAAATTCATCATTTTCACATGATGCCGTCCAACTACTAGTAATTTTTTAAATGCAAATAACGTTAGAGATGTACTTTGTACTCAAACAGAGTATAGGTTGCTGTGTATGCCACATATCTAGTAATTCTTCTGATATGTAAACCATGATGGGTGAATTGGTTGGGAGTTCAACTTGGGACATTTTTCCCTTTTCTCCAGGCTCCATACTTGGCCTGTGGGCAGGGGAGACACAGCCGTCTCAAAAGACATTTGAATCTTCCCTGAGATGTTCACTTGCACAATTTGATTCATCAAGGTGAGCTGAGGAATTATTTCTCTAACAGTAACACAACTTTGAGCAAGATTAGTAATTTCTTTCAATTTGACATGGCAGCTTTTTTTCCATGTGAGTAGATACTGGAATGTATAAAATATAATCTGATTGGACATTACCTTTCTCCATTGTTCTCCCTGATCTCCAGGGCCTGTGTGGCTTGAATCTGAAAGCAGCAAAGTTGGACGTCTCCACATCCCTACCGGCCTGTTTGAACAGATGAAGGCGGCACACAGGATAGAACTCCACGTGCCCATGTCCTGGCGCGTCCAACAAATCCTCCGAGACTACCCTCACTTCACTCAAGACAGGGCACACCTCAAACAACTGCTGCAAACCCTCCACAAGTTTCACGGTGGAAAGCAGCTGGACTCGTGGTTTGGCTTGATCGACAACGGAAGATGGGAGGAGTTTGTGGAGTGTATATTGAGGGAACACTATGATCCAGCTTACTCCAAGTCGGTGAAAAGGAATTCACTCGGAGGGCTGAATCCTACAACACTCCAGGTGGACAGCATGGATCAGGACTATGTCCAAAGAACTTTGTTGGCAGAATTGTTGTCTCTTGGTGACAGGGTTAACAATTCTACAGAAAGTTGATGATACATTTGTGAATTAACACTGTTGTAAGGACTTCAAGTTTATTGATTGCAGCAATTGCTAGGGTTTTAAAATTATTTACAAATGTACAACTTCAAGTGTACGTTTAATTTATTCCTTCAACCTAATGATTGTTGCATATAATAATGCACTATTTTCTTGATACAGAAATGAAATCTTGTCCCTTCTCATATGTGTACTAGTAGTAGTCTAGTACAATATTCTTATATAAAAGATGGAACAACCATTAAACTGTCTTGTGAATTCAAAATGAAGATGCAGTATTACATTTTTATTGAAACAATTAAAAGAGCACTAGGATAAAAATAAATAATGTTTAAGTATCTTTAAAAGTTTAAATTAACATAATTATTACTACTGCCAAATGACAGTTATTGTTGAAAAGTATGGAAACTCTCCATTGTTGCCAGCTGCTACTAAATACTACATTGTAATATTCATTAGGCATCATCTAGGTTCATACGTGGCAATGGTGGCTCTATAGAGGGCCCATGTGGAAATGTTTGCCTATTTCTATTTCCAGTGGAGCATATATCTGTATTACAGTGCATGCTTCCATTCAAGTTCCCTCTTGAACTGTACAGAGTTTCCCATTTAAAAAAGTTACAACTTTTTGCGCTGTCCCTCCTTCCTGTCCCACAGACCCAAAACTGCCTACCGAGGTTGGGTCCCGGGTTCACTACACTCCTCCGTTTGGCACGCCGACCGCACGTGCAAAATGGGGGCGTGATCCTACTGGTGCGAATTACTAAAGGGTTTCTTCCAGTGCTTGCCACTGAATGAGTCTTAGAACTGGAGGGTCTTACTGACTGCCTGTTGTCTTTCATATGTACCTGTTTTGGAGTTGTAAACATACTAGCTGTATTACGGTTCCCAAGAGTGCCTTCTGCATTTGACCCCTCTACTTCAGTTGAAGGACTCTTCCAATTGTTTGCTGGAGGTTGTCCCCTTGCTGTCATGTCTGCACCCTTGTTGTTAGGCCTGCTGTGATGATGACACTGCGTTGTCAGTGGATCGCATTGTCCTGCAGTGTTGGGATGGCAAGGTCCAAAGTTGAGACACTCCTTTTTGTCACCTGTATCATTTGTTACTGTGTGAGGTACATGGTTGCTGAGAGTTGGAGCAAATTTCACACCTACCTTCCCAAGGTTTGCCAGCAAGGCAGTAGACTTTGTGGTGGATGCTTGAACCTGTACAGATGCTGGTGATGTGTAAACTTGAGCACCTTGCCTTGTGCTTGACAGCGGCTGAGCAAACACCTTACCTCTGGGGGCTGACATGTTAGTAGTCTTCCCCTTGTATGCTGTATACTTGCTGCCTGTCGCACATGCCTTCTTCATACTACTGGTACTTTGGGGTGGAAGGTGTTGATTGCCAATGGAATGGTTTCTGGAGCTGGTTCTCGTCACTGAATCAGAGAATGTTGATGATGCATCATGGATCGATGAGCTGTTTAGAAGGGGATTTCCGTTGTCCTTTGGCAAGTTCATCCCATTTGTTCGTTTTACTACAACACCTTCCTCTTGCAACATTGATGTAGGTAAGCTTTTTACATTCCTTTGTTGCACAGATGGACTGTTGTTGACTGATTTTGAAGTTGTTCGAAGACCCTGCATGGCCTGAGGACTTGTTATTACCTGATTGGTTACCTTAAGTTGAGGAGTCGGACCAACCAGACTTTTGGTGACCTGCATCACACAGCCATCACCCATCATTCTCCAGGCCAGCTTAGCCGTGTTTCTTGCATCTTCAATCCCGGAATGCTCCCTTCCCTCAAACTCTATCCCCAAGTCTCTGAGAGCCCCTTTCAATCCATTTGGCTTACGACCGTAGAACTTCTTATAAGTAGCCCTCAGATCTAACCAACAGTTTAAAGCGCTTGGTTTCGAGATGCCCTTCCGGCGACATTCATACAGGAGGCAGATGCCTAGATCCCAGTCAGACCAGGTAACAAAAGTGCCCCATTTGTTTGCTGTATTCTTCCCAACTGTTTTTCCCGTCACAAAGTGGACAGATTTGTCTGTTTGGACACTGGTTAGCCACCTGCCGAACTGAGCCAAGCAGATGTGGAGAGGAATGCCATGGTCAACTTGGTCCTGGGTTATTCCAGTCAGTTCTGTACAGAAATTACTCAAGTATGGATGTTCCTGAGGCTGAACATACCTGCAAACAGAATATTATTTGTTTTGTGAGTTAAGGAATTATACGGGTGTGATTAATTTACAATTTTCCAGGTTTACTTAAATACCAGTAAAAAGTGCCAAGTATACAAATAAAGTTGTTAAAGTAAGAAAATGAAATTACTAAGTATACTGCTGATATTACACTATACTATATTTAGTAAAATTACCAGATACATGTTACTTACTTTACTATTTAGACACAGCATACATGAACTATTATTATGGGAACAAATATATGAAAACTGGCTTGGGGACTTACACTACAGGTATTCAAAATATGACACTTTTCAGTTTGTAATTTCAGATTGATGATTCTTTTTTTTTTTTAAGTGATACAATATATATAACCAATAAAGTGATACAATATATATAACCACTCTGAGTATTTTACGATCCATGATACCTGTGGAATTCTGCCTCTATCTCTCCTGTGGCTGTATTGAGAAGGACCGCTGGAAACTCAATCACCTCAGACTGTGTCCCTACCGGACCCTCCCCATTCTTCCAACAGGTCGCCTCAAAGTCAATAACCACCAGGTAGCTGAAGGCCTGGGGAGTGACCCTGGGAGTGGTGTTGCTGTGGTCAGCATGCCTGAGGTGCTTCTTGATGATACCAAGCTGCCGTGCTAAGGATTTGGTGGACTTCATCTGTATTTTAGAGAAAAAATAGAATTCAAGATTTCCGAATGTTACACAATTTGATGTTCAAAAGTTTGTTCAGTAGATATACAAACTTTAATTATAGCTTGAACTGTGACTGAGTGTGAAGAAGGAGGTTTTGATTTTTGAACATAATTCCTTGTGAAGGAATTATTGGCAAATTTATGTTTCCAAAACTGGGGTAACCGGCGGTATTTTCCTACATCTCTTGCTCCTATGATCAAAAATCTAACTTTGTCTAACATAGGTTTACTTGCGACGTTAGTTCTGATCATTCACTTTAGGTTCAATCAAATCGTCAAAACATCTGATCAAACCATGGAGGTAGAATAAGAGAACTTAAAATCAAAATTAAAATGATCTTGTTACTCCTTGATCAGATAAACCTCCTGCCGGCAAGGAGCTTGGGGTCCCTTGCCTTGGACAATAGTAAAACATGCTAAATATACAAGTTAATGGTACCTTTGTCGTCTATATAATTTGCCTCTTGAATACACTAGTTCAATTTCTACCTCATTATTCAGCTTGGCTTGAAGTTGGGGTTCAACCTTCCCGCTTTGTCTTCCATTCAAATATTTTAATCTCGTGATTTCCCGTTCTAGCAACTATAATCTCGCGAGAGCTTGAGGCCCTGATTGGGACTAGTCCAAAACAAAATAGGTAACTTAAAATAGTTAAAACTCATATTTTTGTGTAACTAAGACGCATTACTCACTAAACGGCCCTTATTAAGAGTTAATCATTTTTTACGAATAGTATAAGTATGATATGTGACACAATCGTTTGGAAATTTGTTTTTGCCTATGCCTTTTTGAGAAGTGATACCCCTATACAGGAATGGAAACTTAACTCATCACGTGGTGATTAAACCGCGCGTCATTGTCGGTGCCAGAGCAAGGAGACAGACATGTCTACGGAAGAAGTCGAAACTCCCGTTGCCGAAAACGGCTCATCTGAGCCCAAAGCTTCCTCTCCCAAGCCACAAGTTAAAAGGTGAGTACGTTTGTACTTATTGCAGGTGCAAAATCATTTCAGCCTGCGTCATATTCGTAAGAATGACCTGAAAACAGAAAGTGTGGAGGTGACGCGTGTTTCACACAAAGGAAATAAAGATGGCGTCTTGTCATCAAGTAGTGGGGGTTTGCGATCCACGTGCTTCAAAGTACGCTAACTAAGCCCAGATGTGTTTTAGTCCTGTGTAGGAGTGGATGGAGGCTCCTTTCTAGTTTGTTGGGATAAGATGGCGGAATTTCGTATACTTCTTTGTGGCCTGTGGCCTTCAAAAAAACTGGTTTGGGCTGGTCATACCTGTAGTATGTAAACGAGTTGCACCCCATTACAAGGTATCAGGTCTTTTCGTCCCCTAGTCCCTTCGTCCTCTAGTTCTTTCGTCCTTGTTATGGATCTTTCGTCCTCGTGGTCATGGGTGTTTGGTCCTCGTTGCGTTGGATCTTTCGTCCTGGTTTAGATGCTTGTTTAAGCAGCAGAGATTACTACATGTATTAGTACAACAATGTTACTACATAGCCATGTTACAGTTCTAGACTCTATTTTAACTTTCTCTTCTCTGTTCGGCAAGTATTTAACGCCGATAAACACCGGGTGCGCGGCGGGCCGATATGCGACCGGCCCCGCCTGCGAGTCCCGGTTGTGCCCGCTAGCTGTAGTCAAGCATGGCTGACCCCTGGCTTGAATTAATACACATAGACTGCTACGAAATCAATAACAATAACTTCTTAGTAAAGCCATGATATAATTCAAAGTTTGTGTTAATGCCTCGATTTGTCGCAAACGCTGCCGGATCCACGCTGCCGGTGTGCGGCAAGAATAAACACAGCCGCCGGCTCCTTCGATACCTTCCCGCCCTAGCCAATTCTCTCTCTCTCTCAGAAAACTGTTTTTTTTACCCCATTTCTTCCATTTTAGATTTAGCAGAGCATTTGGGCAATTTTTCTAGTGATATTCGGCAGTAATTATTTATGTTAGAACAAGGACCTACTGTTATAATCGCTTCCTAAAGTTTGGCTTGCGACGCACACGCAACGCCGGGCGTGTTTGTTGTCGAATTTCCAGTAGCAAATTATCATAAATTCTTTCACAATCAAGAAGACTACTCTAGCTATATAATGAAAGCTATATAGTGAAAGACTTCATATGTAGTGTCAACAGGCGATTGGAGTAGAAAACCGATTGGTTTTGTGCGGAAAGACCAGTCACTTTATGCCTTGTCTGAATGCTCCCCGCACTGTATACAAACAAACGCTGGAGAACAATCTTCTTTATATTCGGTAATTTTCGAGATTCTTCGGAAACCAATCACAGAGGCTCGGTTATAGTCGGTGCAGATCGTGTTTGTAACGAAGATGGACGAAACTGATTGGAGCCGCCCGACTAGACTACTCGGCGCCAGCGGCGCCCGGCGGCAACTTCTTCAAAGGGAAACGCCTGTCAATCAAGTATATGTACGTGAAGCCACGCTGTGGGAAAAGTAATCGCCTCAAAATGTATCGCTAGATTCAGTTTTATTTCTCAAACAAACAGTCACAATATCAAACTTAGCTACTTTTACCATAGAATCCAACCTTTAGTGGTTTCATCGGCGAAGTACTGTAATTCACTTTATGTTCACGGTAGCAAAATTTCACGGTCTGAGAAAAATGGACATGTTCACGGAACTATATGTTCACGGTGGTGACAGGTTCAGAAAAGAAAGTCCAGGAATTATTTGTTAACTGTAATGATAAGTTCACTGTACAGAAGCAACAGTGAAAACAGTGAACTTATCAGTACAGTGAAAAAATCAGGAATTACAGTACTCTGGTCGCAATTTCGTGCATTTGATTGAAAAATTGTTGATGCTGTGGCGCGCCGATGTAACGTTACGTGTTCGACCGAGTTTGTTTACTAGCCGGGCGTAGGTCATTGACCTTCGGCTTGCGTTGGTTTGGGCTGGTCATACCTGTAGTATGTAAACGAGTTGCACCCCATTACAATAGTTTCTGCGGGACGCCCAACATGCAGTATTTTGTATTCGTTGAGATAAGTTGGTCGCAAATGATTTATGGCGTTATGTTTGTACCTCTGGGTGTATAGAACATTAAAATAAAGCTCTATTGATCTGCTTTATTGATCTGTTTGACCCTCTTCAAAATAATTATGTTGTATCAAGGGAGCTCAGAGACCTGGTAAATCAAGTTGCAAGAAGCAGTGGGACACTCCTGCAGACCCGCAGATTTGATAGTTGTAATGATAGCGTATATTCAATCATCATACCTTTGTTCTTAGGGAGAAGTCGTCAGGTGACAGAGACAACCGTAGTAGAGGCGGTCGGGACAGGAGAGACCGGGACCGTGACAGGCGATACCAGCCGTATGGCCGAGAGGGTCGGGGTGGCGGCGGCAGAGGGTCACGGGGACACGGTCAGGACCCGGAGAGAACCGTCTACATCAGTAACATTCCATACGAGATGAAATGGCAGGACATCAAGGACCTTTTCAGAGACAAGGGTAAGGATAGTATCAGATTTAAGTATATATTGACATGCATAGTTCTCACCAGGCTGTTTGAGCGTAGGGGCCCCCTACGCTGTGACTTGGACCCCCTACGCTGTGATTTAGCCCCCTACACTGTCTTTCAACCAGAGTAGGGGTGTTTTTTGGGTGCAGAAGCTTCATAAATCTTTAAAAAATGAAGATGTAACTTTGGAATGAAGCTATAACAAAGGCAAAACAAAATCTGTCCCCCAGTAAGCAAGAAAAAGTGTCTCAGGGGGTTATGAGTTACAAAATTTTTCAGGGAAAATATCAGACCCCTTCTTATTGGGATTCGATGCGCGACTTGCGCCGCAGAAAGTTGCCCTCCTATACCCGACCCCTACGCTGTGAAAAAATCCTGGTGAGAACTCTGACATGTGATAATCCCTGCATTGTAAAGGATAGTATTGGAAAATGATGTCAAACTCAAAGTATTAAAACTACCAAGGACATTGTATACTGACAAGGTTCACAATTTTTTCAGTTGGAGAGGTGACATACGTTGAGATGTTCACAGACATGGATGGGAAATCCAGGGTAAGAAAACTTTTTAATGTTAATATTTAACCATCTAAACATGTTTCATTTTGAAGTATTTTTCTTCGTTTCCCTTTTAAGGTTTAGATCTTGAAGTTCAAAATGAAACTAAATACGTACATGTGTACAAGTGACTGTGTCCACATAAGGACCACTTCGCCACTTTTTGGTATTCCCTACAAAATTTTTCCCATTGGCACAAGCACTAAAAACCTGTCCATATAGACCAAATTCTATCCTTGAGTTCTCTTCTTGGACAGTTTTGACTGTAGTTGTTTTGACATGCTTCCCACTGCAAGAACACATTACTAAGACTGGGGCCATATAGTTTTTCCAAAGTATTGACATTATTTTTGTTTAGTTCCCAAAGTATTGACATAATGTTCTGATGGTTGGGTTTCTACGACATTCTTTGAGTGGGAGGAAAGCAGTCATCAGAAACATTACACTCACGACTGTCCCATCCCAACAACTGCTTGGAGATGAACATAGACAAGTTCCTTGTTCTGTATGAGCTGTTAAAATGAACATGTCTCTGTTTCCAGGGTTGTGGTATTGTAGAGTTCAAAGACAAGGATGCAGCAAAGAAGGCTGTTGACAACTTACACAAACATCCCATCAACGGCAGAAACATCATTGTCAGAGAAGTGAGTATTCAGTAGCCTGACTAAATCTGCGCTCCTAGCGGCTGGCCCGGTATTACACCAGCCATCCCCTGGGCTAAGTATTCAGAACTTTTTCTTAATGCTTAGGCCACACCAATTTATTTCCTTGGTTAACGGATTCGCCGCTTCGTTTTTTGGCCAAAATGAAATAAAAATAAAAACAGAACAAAAATCCATACTCTCGGGTCCCGAATAAACGTAACGGTACGTTTATTTTTGGGCCCAAAAATCCACTCGTTACGTTGTAATTTTTCAAAATTTGGGCATAGTTAACAGCGTTAAAAATACATTGCTTCAAGGCAGAAACATTTTTCTGAGTGCAATTTGTTCGGAAAGCTAGGTTGCCTCTTCAAAAGTTCGTCAAATTCTTTTGATATAGAACTCGCCCCCCACCCCCTTTGCACATGTCACCATTCATGGAACAAAACTTCACTGACGACAAACGTACGGCAGATTTACTAAGTCATCGCACCTGTAACAACATACCATCTCCCTTTAGATATATATTATATTTAGGAACATGTATTGTGTAGGAAACATGTGCTAGTAACGGGCGTTTAAAAATAATCGGCCGAACGTAACTCGACCTGGGCGGCACATGCACACACACCTTCAAAACGATCTTTTTTCCAGGGAATATGTAAAAATAACATGACATATATGTATTCTGGCATCACAAACTGTATTACTGTCAAAAAGTACAAAATCCTACCACAAACATGGGAATTTGGCAAAGTAAAAAGTCCTCCATGCACGTAAGTCTTTTGACTAAAGCACTCTTTCTCACGGTCGGAAGAGTCCACTTTGAGTAGGGGGAAACAGGTTCTTTTAATTATAGAAATTACTCTGTGAAAATACTACAAGTGCATGTGGCATTTTTTCTAACAAAGTTACATCTTATATAGATACCTATAAACAGGAGTACAATTGCAAATAATGCATCAATTATTTTACATCTAAATTTTTTAATAAAATGGTTCCCCCTAGAAATAAAAAATCCCCATACATCAAAGACTTTATAGTGAAACCCTAGACCATTGAATTTGTGGCAACTTGAAGAGTGTGTCAATGTGGCTATTTGTTTGAATGATGGCAATGTATAATGTAGCTGTAGCATACCTAAAGTGTATAATGGGAAATATAAAATGGATACTACCGGCAGTATTTGGGAATTGGGGAAAGATTAAAAAAAAAAAAACAAATAAAATATCTGTTAAAGTAGTTAATTCTTTTACACATTCCTGGAAATTTGTCTAAAGCATATATTTAGCATATTGTAAATTTCAAGCTCTAAATAACTTCCATATCAGCCAGACACAATAGAATGCCCAGCCCAGTGGTAAGCCGTGTGCCCTGAACTCTAAGAAAACAATGGGATCTGAACAGAGCACCCTGATTTAAACCACTCTTTGGAACTTTGAAAGATGAATAAAAGTGAAACCAGTTGGATCGGAGTCTTGTCAACTGACAGTTTGTTGTTCATACAGTAAAGATGTGTATCTTGCAAAATAATACGAATAATTGTAAAGTTATGTATTAAAAGAGAAGTTTCTCATGTAGTAATGGTCCTTTCAGTTCAATAAGTGTCCAATATAATGTGTTATATAATACTGCATGGCTGTATGGCAGGTAGCCTCAAATTTTTATTTCTATTTTTTTTTCGCCCGCCCGCTCCATTTTTTTCCTAGAAAAATACGTTAAACAAGAAATTAAATTGGTGTGGCCTTAGGTCACATTTCCAGGCCGGGGCCCGGCCGGGCTGTTTGTATGAACGAAAAATCAACAATTCTTATCAGGAATATACACAAATTGTACTCATGATTATCTTTTAACCTTTTTTTGTGCTCTGTTGTCTTTTGTACCATACTTTTCATTCCATAAGACTGCCCGGCCGGGCCCCGGTTTGGAAATGTGACCTCAGCATAAGTTGTGGTTCAGGGCTTTACAATCTGAAATTACTATCTAGTTTGCTTTGGCTATGATAGTGAAGTCTTGAAAGTGTTGTAGCATGCTTATAGTCAAGCAATCTTGTCTGTTGCTTTTCAGGATAGCAGTGGTGAACTGCAACGTCGAGCGAGAATCAAGAATGACCAGGGCATGCCAGGGGGAGACATTGGAGGGGGACCCATGGGCATGGGGGGAGGAATGGGCAACATGGGAGGGGGTATGGGCAACATGGGAGGGGGTATGGGCAACATGGGGGGAGGCATGGGTAATATGGGAGGGGGTATGGGTAACATGGGGGGAGGCATGGGCAACATGGGTGGGGGGATGGGCAACATGGGTAACTCCAATGTCGACCCTGAGCTGATGAGGAGGCTGAACAATGGAGACATCAGCAACGTCGTGTTTGTGGCCAATGTAAGTGCGAGATATTTGTACCAGCCTTAAACTACCATGCAGAAAATTTCTTACTGATGTTGCTGTTATCTGTTTGAACAGTTAACAACCAAAACATAACTTTGTTTCTTTTAAAAGTTTCCCAAACTCTGGTTTTACTGTAGCGAACTGCCTCATCTGTAGTTACATTTTAAGCTGTTCATTATGTATCAGCAGATGTAAGTTGTTAAAGGAACTTGTCACCTGTGATTTTATGATTTTTTTTCTTTCATTTGCCAGCTTGACTACAAGGTCACGTGGAAGAAGTTGAAAGACATCTTCAAGATGGCAGGAAATGTGCTGAGAGCTGAGATCAAGACGGACAATGAAGGCAAGAGCCGCGGCCATGGCACAGTCACGTTTGAATTCCCACTCGAGGCAGCACAAGCCATCTGTATCCTTCAGATTATAAGTCAAGTTATTGTAGAGGTGGCATGTATAGGCCTTTTGAGACATATTCCCCAAACTCTGGTTATTTGTTCAGAAAGTGAGTTATGCACATCAACTAGGAATGCAGTCAATAAGAACTCTAGATAACTGGCATCAATGGCCTTGTGGTGAAGCCATCAGACAAAATATCAAGAGGTCACAGGTTCAAATCCTGGCTAGATATTGGCCTTGCCCTTGAGAAAGGCACAGAATATGGCTTTCCTCACTCTACCTAGGTGTAATTTGGAACGTGGGCTTAGTTGGGGAGTAAAATGTAATGGAAGGAGAGGGATTGGCTCCATGCCTTAGGCACAGTGGATTAACATTTTTACCTTCGCCAAGAAGGTTATGTTTTCAGGGGCGTTCGTGTATGTGTGTGTGTGTGTCTGTCTGTCTGTCTGTAAACACGATAACTTGAGAAGGCCTTGATGGATTATTTTGATACTTGGTAGGTGGGTAGGTCTTGATGAGACCTCAAAATGATTAGATTTTGGGCCCCCTAGCAGCTTGTTATGGTACTGCAGCTGAACTTCCTGTTTTGATATCTCACGATGTAGACATGCTATGATGATGAAATTTGGATGGTAGGTAGCTCTCGTGCTGGGGAAGAATTGATGTGAGTTTGGGCCCCCTAGCGGCTTGCTCTGGAACTGCAGGGATATATTCTTGAAATTATTCAAAAAGGGGATAACTCAAGAACCGTTTGACGGATCGTCGTGATTTTTGGTATGTATGTAGGTAGCTTACGTGATGTTTAATATAATTATGTGACAATTATGCAAATATGGTTGTAATTTACATAATTTATGGGGAAATTCTATAAATCAGCTACATTCCATGATAGGACAATTGAAGATTGTGACATTGGTAATTGACAACGAGAGAAACACAGGAAGATATTGATTATGTTAATAATGACTTAATTTGCATAATTAATGAGAAAGTTTTATAATTATGTAATGATAACTGCCTGGAATTTCATACTTGTGGTATTTGAAAGTTTAGTTGAGGTGAACATCATTAAACATAATTTATTCAAATCAGGACCTCATTTGCATAATTTGTTAGGAAATGCTAGAATGCATTGTTTGTTAATATAAGACTCTTTTGGTTGAGATTATGATAAAATGATATAATTCATGAAAATTAGGTTCCTATTTCTTAAATCATGGGGGAATCTAATCTATAATTTGTCAGTCATAAAGATTAACATCATTTGGCGAAGGTATGAGATCGGGGAACTCTAGTTTAGACATACAGCAAAGCTGCACCCCAAATAGGTTTAAGACTTTTTCCCAGGTGGAAATAGATGTAGCACATTCACAGCACCATTGCAAACGGAGCGCCATGCTAATGTGTGTTAACTGTTATTGATTGTAAGTCTTTGTATGGAATCGTTGTCATCCTTGACTTTCATGCAGCCATGTTCAATGGGCAGAAGTTATTTGACAGAACGATGGTTGTCAGACCGGTGAGTGGAAAATTCCTGTCATGTTACAAACTAACCACGGAAGAGTGTTTATATCATGTCAATCTTGCATTTGGTTGTTTTCTTTTTAAATGTGAACTGCTCACTGTGCTATATAGACCGTTTTTTGAAGATTTATTGATAGTCAACTTAATTAAGATTTCAGCTGGTCAGTGACACTTGATGTCAAATGTGCACCTTTTATTTTTTACTGCTTATCACATTTTTCAAGATTAAACACAATGCAATGGTCTGCTTGGTGTTCAAAGGTTATCAGTTTTGTTCTATAAAAAGTGCATGGTTCTTTCCAGGACTCCAAAGGACCAGGTGAAATGGGTAGAGACCCCGGCCCCAAACTGCCAAGTAAGTCTTACTGACCTTCACTTGTCTATAGTGTGCAAGGGCTTCTTGTGGAGTGCATCCAGCTACCAAAGCACTCTTGGCAACACAAAAATTAAAGTTATTACATTGGTAAGCAGCGCCTCTGGAAGACTTGTTTTGGCAGTGACAATTTTGAAGTATGCCGCATATGAATATCAAATAGGTAAAACAATCCTTGCACAGTCAAAAAAGACGTGGCCAGTGGACAGGTAGCTAATGTAGACTTTATTCTTACTGCCTTGATCAATGGGAAAATAATCTAAGGGATAATCCAAAAGTTGTTGCAATGGCTATAAATTGTTCTGTCTCCACTCATACTCGGTGGTTTGCTTTTTGGTGATTCCTCAGACTGAGCCTGCTTTATTCCGTCTGTCTTTCTTGTGACAAAGTGTCTTCACCCTGTACACTATCTCCTATTAAGCTCTCTTCTGAACGTGTTGTCTGTCACCACTCAGCATTACTGGGAGGGGAAGCAGAGGGACTTGGTGGTCAGTGATGTTTGTGATTTCAAATTGTGTCACTGGGAAGTGTGCTATTGTGACCTTGTTCAGACAGTGACCATTTTGCATGTAAAAGCTGTGCTTTTTGTATTTTTTTGTAAACCATAGGCTCTTTTCAACCAATCTAAGTTTTTGTCATAGTTTAGGTGACACAGCTAGGTATGACTGTAGGGGTAACAAAAATAGATCCTCACATTTATTATTTTGCAAAATGAAGCATATTTTGGAAGGACAAAAAGGGTGAAAGCTAAAAGAGAACCATTCAATCCTTTCCAGGGAACCTAAATTCTCTTTACTCTTCTTTTTCTTTCTTTCTATTCTTGAGCACTGTTTAGTTATTGAGTCTCCTCCAACAAGCAGAAAAGTAACACAATGAGATTAATGATATGAATTGTGCTTACATCAGTGTATCCTCTTCTTCCCATCCTAGTGTTTGGTACTGTAATGTAAAGCCAGTTGAGTATCAGGTTGGATGTGTAAACCTATGGCAAGCCAACCTTTCTGTCACTAGACAGTTGAATTTTGTAGGGCACATGCACTACAGTCCCAAGAATTCACTGTTATAAAAGTCATGTATGGCAAATGTGTCCTCAACCTTACCTCACAGGCCCAATGTTTTGTCAGGAAGGAAGTTTTTACATCAAGCACAAATGATTTAACCTGCTGTATTTGTTGATTTTTCAGGTGGACTGAGTGGAATTGGTGCAGGTCTGGGTCCAGGTGGACAGCCTCTGAATGTCCACCAGATGGGCAGTGGTGGCGGCGGTGGAGGCGGCATGGGAGGAGGTGAGATATTTTAGTGCTTGCCCCTTTCTTATCAAATGTTTTAATTGCTATTGTCTTTGTCATGCTTCTTGACTAAGTCTCTAGCTGATACTTGTTACCACTAGCTGGTACATGTGACCACTAGAGAATCAGCCAATGTAGGTTGTGTCATTACCCAGCCTTGTTTTTCTTCATGGCTTTTACTTGACACAATGTTCTGTTGTCAGATAAACTTTTTTTAGCAAGTTAAGCAACTTCGATAGCAAATTTAAAAACAACATACAGGAGGTAAGAAAGAGTTCTGAAGTTATCTACATGTATTTTTCATATAAGAAGTAACCCATACTTTTCAGGAATGGGCGGTGGCGGCATGGGTGGAGGAGGAATGGGTGGAGGCATGGGAGGAGGTCTCGGTGGAGGCATGGGTGGAAATATGGGAGGTAAGTTAACTCTGATTGTCCTGGTGGTCTGAAGGGTGTTTGCAGTCAACTACTGTATATCTCCAGCATTGTCTGACATGCTAGATGGTCAAACCTGGAAAGTGTCGGGTAGATTTGAGTTTTATCGTTTAATTTCTGATTTGCACATGCTGACTCCTACAGTTCAGCCAACCAGTATGGCTGCAGTGGCATCATGTAATTGAGTCAAAACTAGGGATGACTTAACATTGTGTTAACATTGTATTTACAGTCATGCATATAGCATGAAATATTGTTTCTGAACATGCTTTGTTTTTTCCCAGGTGGAATGGGTAACATGGGAGGCATGTCAGACCTTGGTGGTAACATGGGTAAGTCTGACTGTCTCTGCTGATCAAGAAGTTTTAAAATGTTCTACTCCCTTTACTTTTTGATAATAAAGTGTACACTGGCTACAGAACTGAGTACCGCTTTTGTTAACTGATTGTTGCAGCCATTATCCGTTTAAAATGTAGAGATATGAATCAAATGTATCAAAGATAACCTCTAGTTTAAAAAAGTTCTAAGAGCAGCTAACATAGGATAAATGGTAGCAGCTAAAAAGATTTTGTTCAGGTGGTCAAACGTAGAATTAGCAGACAAATTTGTAGTTACTTGAGCTAAATTCTGGTAAAATCTCATAATCTGAAACTAAAAAGATAAACCCTTGCATTGCCCTTACATTTGGTGATGGTAGACTAGCCTAGGCACTCCACAGACCATGAGTAGTTTAGAAAGTAGTTTTTGTGTTGAGAGGTTAAGGTGTCGGTGATAATAGTGGTGAAAAAATACCTACAACCAGAACTAAAAGCTGCACACTACTTCACTTTTCAGGTGGGATGGGAGGCGGAATGGGAAACATGGGAAGAGGTACGGTATTGTTGGGAACTTTAGCTCAAGGCCGTTCCTTTAAAAGATATGGATGTGGCAGACTACACATAAACTTCTGCACCCCTCTTTTTTCTTAATTTCAGTTTAGTGCACAGATAATTTTTAAACGTTATTTTGCTATTAGAGCTGTGATGTTTTCCTTGTTTAAACAGCTAACCATAAAAATCACCATGCTGTTCTCCTTGTAATACACTATTTCTGCCTTCCTCATCAGCAAAATCCCAGTTTGTCACACTCCATGTTTTTTACTAGGGAATTGTGCCTATCTATGTGTATTAGGGATATGAAGAACAAACAATATGAGATTTTTCCCAATCTGTTGTACAGTTAGTGTACTCTTAGTTGTTCCATAATCCTTGCAACAATGCCAACTTGATCTTCTCAAATGTAGATGCCAGGTTGTCAGTCAGCACTTCTAGGGAGGATATAGGGAGAGGCACAGGTTTGTGTGTGTGTTTTAGATAACCAAAAATAGGCTTGAAATACTTCTTACCTCTCACTCACACTTCAGCCAGAATCTAGAGAAAACTTCCTGCAAATTTCTGCTGAAAAAGTACCTAAAAGATTTCCATGCAATTTCAAAGACTTTCTGAGGAATTCCTATATTTATTGCAATGAAAGCTCACCAGTTTTGGAACATACTGAAGTCTGTTTCGTGTACTTCATTAAGTTGAAAACTTACTTGATATTCTGTGTTCATACACAACTTTTTACTGGCTTATGTGTTAGTGGTATTTCAAACCTTGACGTTTTTAGTTCTTGAAGTTGCAGTGTCTAGGTAGGGTATTTGTAACAAAAAGCTCTTGACGAACTGTCCTATCATCAAACTGTTAAAGACTGGTTAACTTCTACTGTTCTGGGTTTTCTGCTGACAAGTTTTTGTAAGACTGTAGTACATAGAAGAAACCTGAGAAAATGCATTGGAGAACTTCAGTTCTGTGTTACATCAAGAGCATATCACACATTGATACATATAGGATAGGGTACATATCCCTGTAACCTTAGGTCATGGAGCAGACACCAAATATGGAATAGCTTCTGTCTAACCTGAGTTATGTGCTGTGGTTGAAGATAACAAAATCTGCATTTCTAATTGTTAAGTGCTCCTTTAGGTATATTACAAGGGTCCAACAGTAAAAACATGTCTAGATAAAAATGAAAAATATCAAAGGGATTATAGAAACAGGCCAAATATATGGCATTGTCAGATGTTTGTATCTGATATTAGATTGTGCAGCCTTAGCTCTGCATTGTATAAAAGCCAGCTGGTTATGGAGAGACATCACTGAATGATTTTTTTGTGATCAGCATTTTTATCAAAATGTCCCTACAACTTACAACAAGCTGATCAGTATATTTACCATGGTGTTCTTCTCATAGTAGAAGTACATGTGATATCTAGTATGTGATTGTCATGGTGTCAACTAACAAATATTGTAATTCGCTTTATAATTGCGGTAGCAAAAGTTCACAGAACTATATGTTCGCTATGGTGGCAGGTCTGCAAAACAAAAATCAGCAATTTAATATAATATAATGATAAGTTCGTGATACAAAACTGACCAAGAAAACTGTACTGCAAAAAAATTGTGAAGTACAGTAAGTAATGAATGACGATGGTAAAGTTTTCCTATAGGCATGTGGCTTGTGTTACAGGTGGACTAGGGATGGGTGACCTCGGCGGGGGAGGTGGCATGGGCATGGGAGGAGGCATGGGCAACATGGGAGATTCCATGGGCGGCATGGGGGGAGGCATGGGCAGTCCTGGCATGGGCGGCGGCATGGGAGGTGGATTCGGAGGAGGCATGGGAGGTGAGATTATTTAACAGCTAGTTTATAGGCTGACGTTTTGCATTTTCAGGCAGGGTCCTGTGCATGAATATAAAAGTGATGCCTGTAGAATAATGTGCTGACACAGACTTTCAACATATGAATTGGTTTCAGAATATATGATGTTTTTTGTACACTTGCAAAATTTACAGTGTCTAATTTGTCCACAGGTGGAAACATGGGAGGAAACATGGGCGGGATGGGAGGCATGGGCAACCCCATGGGTGGTGGCATGGGTGGAGGAGGTAAGGAGGCACTCACTAATACATAATCAATGGACATTTAGATGTTCACCTAAAATGTAATTCAGAGCTGTGATACCTATGTAACAGCGTGGTGATGGGATTTGCATAGGGATGTTAGAAAGTTCAATCCCTGCACTAGACCATTAAGCAGGAAAGGGATCACAAGAGGAAACATAAGCATGATTAGCATCAATACCACGTCGTCATTTTATGCCGAAAGCTTGATCATCATTTTATGTCTAAGTACACAACTTGTCTGACCCTGTATCATCTGTTCTGTAGGCATGGGAGGAGGAGGTGGCATGATGGGCGGAGGTATGGACAATAACATGGGCAGAGGAGGCATGGGCGGCGGCCGCAACAGGAGCTGTCAGATCTTTGTCAGAAACGTAAGGAGTAAAGATGTAAAGCTTGTGGATTATCCATACATATCTGTATTGTTAGGCTGCCTTTGAGAGTTTGACCATAGCCATATTTTCTCCAACTAACATTATGCAAGGTTAGGTCTGATTGGGCATTTAGTTGAACAAAGTTTCAATGCACAATGTCTTGCTAGCATGCATAGTCCAGTGGTTAGCAATACTGTCTCTGGACTAAGAGGTTGGGAGTTTGAATCCCAGCTGTTGTCGCTCACCCGACATGCGCGTTACTGTTTAGGGTCGCAGTCATTCAGACGGGACGTTAAGCTGTGGTCCACTGTTCATTGTGCTTGTCGAAAAGGGAATTTCCCCGTACAATGAACCCCTAAATACTGTACTTAGCGTCTGTCCTCTCTGTCACGACCAGTGGAAGATTAGCTCTTCAATGAGCTAAACTGGTTCGAGATCACTTTCACATGACAGTAACATTTCAACAGGTTGCATAAACCTACTTTGCAAAATGTGGCTTCTGTAAAGTATCAAGCAGCTAAGATTGTCAGGAGAAACCTGACTAGTTTTACTTGTGTGAAATTTGTACATGTGTTCTGATTTATATCAAGCTTTGCTGATTTTGTTTCTACCGTTTTTGGTCCTTGTAGCTCCCATGGTCCTTCACCTGGCAGATGCTGAAGGAGAAATTCAAGAGTTGTGGTGAGTTTGGGCTAAAAGTTAACTGTCAGATTATCAAAGTTTGTCCATTGTCAAGTCCACAGTATTTGTGTTGATATTACTTCACTCAACTAATACTTTGCCATGGGCCTTATTCCTGGGCACTAGATGACTATGTCCTGCTGTGATGTGTCTGAGCTTTATGTAGGACGTCTGTACATGTTGTCAGGTTAGAATTGACAGTTGATATTGGTTTGTATCTTCAGGTCGTGTGATGTATGCTGAGATCAAGATGGAGAACGGAAAGTCAAAGGGATGTGGCACTGTCCGCTTTGACACCCCCGAGGGTGCCCAGAGAGCTTGTGGTATCCTTTGATGAGTCATTTTACTTGATTAGATGGCTGTTTCCAGTTGTTGATTTTTCCCAATATCATGATTGGGGATGGTAAGTTTAAGCTATTTCAGGTGTTATGTTTTGCTGATCTAAAGCATTTTGCTGCAAAATAAATTTTCACAATGAATTTTGAGCTTACTTTAGGGAAATCATTCAGAATACCTGCTTCTAAAATTAGAACTTATTGCCAAGTAATGAGCATATGTTTGTATGTCAGAAAGTGTTGTTTTCCAGGTAGGTAGAGTGTAAAGTGATACATTTGACAATTGATGTTTTTTGTGCCAAATATTCCTTCATTCCAACACCTCAGATATGATGAACGGCATCAAGCTGGATGGGCGCGAGATCGACGTTCGCATCGATCGCTCTCTGTAGGTCGGCTGGCCTGGTCTCGTGCTGTGAGCAGGGTCTCTTAGCTTAGCCTATAGTTCCCACCATCCTCCATTCCCCACATCTCTGGGCCCTCTGCCGTTGTGCTTCAGCTGTTCAACGTCCGTGTTGATTGACCTCGCTCCTGGGTGTTGTATTGGTAGATGCCGTCTATGATGGCTGCTCAGTCTACGCAATCCACGTAATCTGACACCATGTCATGACTTCATAGGTTGTCAACTTCATAGATGATGGTCAAAGCATCCCTGCGTTATAATTACTCAATATGGAACACTGGGGTAGCAATGAACATTCTAGAAGAGTAAAAAATGGTTGTGGTCTTCTGCTAAAGTTGACAGTCATTTCTGAATGTTTTTGAGTCACCGCTGGATGGACCTTGTACATAGTTGATTGCACAGCACAGAGTTTGGTATTTTATTTTCAGCTTTATCTACTATTTTATCCAATTGTCGGCATCAATTTTTTTTTTTGTAGTCAATGTTAAGTGACCTGTAAATCACTGCTCTGTAGAGTTTGTTCCATCAGAACGTACGCAGCTTGCAGCGAATCATCAGTCATCGTCTGAATACGATCTTCCATGGCACCAGTGTTGTATCCCAATCATTGGGCCTCTTGAAAATATTTTCTGTACTGTATAGTTTAGGCCATTTTACCTGATGTTTCTTTTTACTATCAGTAGAATCAAAGTGATAGGTCCTTAGAGCTTCTAGTGGCACACCAGTTTGATGTGGTCAAGCGACGACCTTGGATGCAACTGTGTGTTATCTAGTTTTCAGCATTGCATAGTCTTGTGTATGAAGGTTTGTACCCTCGTTGATAGTTGTTAAGAGACAAATGTATTTTGTTCTTGGAACATTGTTAGTCTCTACGATCAGCTCCTGTCTAAAAGACAAGTCATTGTGGATGAACCCCTGTCATATGTTGTGTGTTGGCTGGGTGAAGAAAGTCTGCATCAAGAAGGCCAAAAGACAAAATAAAGGTTGGCTTGTCAGATTTTGCTGGTGCCATGGTTGTTTGTGTGTCAAGATTTCCTGTTGTTTACTCTATCCAAGGCATTGTCACCTTTCTCAACTCTCTGTGGCATGTAAACTCCATGTTCTTTTCACAGGAAGTGGGTTATGGCAGCAGAAATTGAAATTGCTGGTGGGATGTCAACTGACTCTAACTACTCTTGTCTTTCCATTTTACTATTCAAGGTTTTTAAAAGAAGGAAACTTCAGGTTTCGGAATACAGATGATTTTGATGATTGGACCTCGTTGGTAGCTGACTTTTAAGACAAAACGTTTACCAAAGATTTACAATTGATCCTAATGTTTCATTTCTAGAGTTTCATGTTCTTAGACTCATGTTGTTGAAGAGGTATCTTTTGTAATGTCTAGTCCTTGACTCCTTCAATGTGTGACGAAATATAATGTACTTCGCTTCTTTCAAAAGGAAGAACTGAACTCGAGATGGACACATTTGTTGGGTTTTGGACTAAAATTGACTAGTTGGATCTTTTTAAACTCTGTTATTGAACTGTTCACAGAATCATTACATGTTGAGGTTAAACAAGGAATATCTTATGTTCACTGTCAATGCAACCTTTTTCCAGCTGAATTATGCATTTAGTTGGTCAAGAGTCCACCTTTTGTCATCAAAACTTATATTACCAACCGGTAACCATTGCACATTTTGATGTATGGAATGGCTGTCTTCTGACAGTTCTTTGAAGATGTAACACATTTTTGTGTATCCATAATGTTACTGGCAATTAATGGTAACCGTAGAGTCAGAATCCATATCATTGGTTAGAGCCACCAGTTGGAGGGAAATAGTTTTGATTATGAAGTATTTAACCACCTTGTGGCATGCCATTCTTTGGTATTGCATACCATCCTGTAAGCTATACTTGTTCTCTATTATTGTGTTGGCTCTGTATATGATTTTATTTTCAGGGAGTGGTTTTGTCGTTGTCTTTCAACTTGACAAGTACAAGGAAGGCTGGAGTTGTCATGGCTGTGGTGGACGTGGCATCAACATAAGTGCTAGCATTATACTTGTTGCAGCAAAGGAAAGAAGAAAAATTCTCATCTTTTCCAAGGTTGCAAATAAGACTATTCTGTAGATAGTTTCTGTGTGTGCAAAGTGGAACAAGGTGTTCACCTGACTTAACCTGGGAAGGAGGTCTCTGCAACTTTGGTGGCAAGTTTTGGCAGCCAGGAATGACACTTGGAATGATTGCCAAAGGAATTTCAATTGTAACATGGTCATTCAATTGTAACATGGGAGGTTATCCACTCATGTCACTATCCAAATATCATGTCTAAGCTTTGCCATATGTATATTCAGAAAAGGAATAATAGAATGAATTGCAGTGGAAAGGGGCCGAGAACAGGCAAGCCCCCCTGACCATCCACTGCTTTTCCTTGTGCCCGTTGGCATCACCAGTAGATTGTTAAAAAGTCTCTCAGGTCATACGTGCAATTGTGATCTTATAATACAGCAAATATTCTCCCAGGATAGAGTTGAAACTTTTCGGTGTTAATGATTATTTTTACTGCCAGTGATGTATCATTCTATCCTTGAGCTGAAAAGCATAGCTTCACACCATCAGGAAAATTCTGTTTACTTTGGTAACCTCATCAACCATGGTTGTCAAGATAGTTTGCCTGTTAGGATTTCCATGTGTCAACCAGGAAGAAAAGTGCAAGAGGATCTTAGTCTTGTTGAACTTGAAAATAATTGTCCTGCTGCGCAATAAACAGTTCATGTTACCAGATGACATCACCATTTAAGGGGTTGTCGTTGTGATCGTTCTAATAGGTTTGACAATGGTATTTTTTCCAATATTTTTGTCAACCAAACCACCCAATGTAGACTAGCGATGGCTGGCTAATTTGCTACTGCAATGATTGCTTCCCCCAAATGCTTAATGATTTGTTTATAGTATAGTACACACACTCCAAGCATCACAGCCCTGTCCTATAACATGAGCCTCATCTTCCCTTGTCTAGGAGCATAGTTGTAAGCTAATTGACTATAAGGATTTGTACAAGAAGAGTCTGTAATTCTTGATGCACATAAATTACATCTATTATTCATAATGTACCATGTGCCCTTGTTGAAGAAAAGAACAAGGAGTGTTATTGTCTGCATTCAATAAAAAGTCATGGTAACATGATCTGCAGGGCAACTGTCGAGTAGAACAGTTGGATGGCTGTTTGATAGCTGTCATGACAACTTTTTCCAAACATTCATATACAATCCAGCCAAAGGGAAGTCAAGATTATGGACCACTTGCATTGGGTTGTGCCCGTTTGTCACAGTCCAGTTACTTCAAGTACTTGCACCAGTTGGTAGTTCATGTGCACATTACATTTCTAAGGTGTTCAATATTATACCTTGTTACCTTGTTGGGTGTTTTTGGGCAGAGTCACAAGTTTGATAGTTTTATCCCATGTCACTTCAGTAGATAGCTTTGTGGTTGGAATTTTGAAGTGTTTTTTTAACTGGAATCAACAGGAGTGAATGAAGGTAAGTATAACCCTGTGCACACAATAAAGACTTCATGATGTTTCTGAATGGAAGCCTTTACTGTGTGTTCAGGATAGAGAAGGTGAGTACACTGGTCCTTGAATCTCAATTTCATTGTCAAGTGGCTGGAATGACTGGGTCACAGAAAATTTATGGACAACATTGCTTGGTATATCAAAACTAAGTGGCTGAATGAACAACACAAAAGCCTGTGATTTCGGTGGGGGAACCTCTGCCTAAACTTACTGCAGTTTTATCTGCCTTACATTGTGTAAATACCAATAATCATTCCATACACTTAAAACAAATGGAAATGGTTTTACCCTGGTAGAAGCTGAATACTCTGTAATTCTATAATGCTCAATGCCATAGGGGTGATATCTCAAGGATTCTTTAGGGTTGATACCTTGCTATCCTTTCTAGTATTCCAGCTGATTTGCTGTAATTGAAAAAGAACTAAAGGAAATCGGCATGTTGTCTGTAGAATTTACTTGTAGGCCGCCACAGGGTGGCAGTTGCACATGGAGCTACCACCAAAATGTCATTCTTTGAATGATGTTACGAACAAAAAATTTGTATAAAAAAAATCAGTAGATCCTGAAGGGTTAATAGAATGGCATTTACCCTGTCAAGCACAACAGGTTTTTAGAAGTCACTGTTTAACTCTTCCAGTTCTTTTATATGTAAGTGTTGCCCAATTCTGTCAGTTCAGTCAAGAAGTTATCTCTGTAGTTTATCCAGTAGTAGTTTGAATGACTTTGAACATGTGCTACCAGTAGTTGCGACTGTATGTTTGTCATATTGTGCCAGCCGGTGTTCGAAGCAAGCAACTCTTTTTCCATGATTTGAGGGAAGTTTGCTGTTCATGAGGGACAAGAATTTTGCCTAATCAAGTCAAAATTGGCATGTAAAGATATGGAAAGAAGTACATAAATGAGCTTTGTCTACCAGCAAAATTTGCCCCTAAAAATGCATGATTCAGACTGGCTAGAACACTGGCAGCCTTTCCAACATTGACAATGTTTTTTTCCTGGAGCAGGTCTATTTCTGACAAATAAAGGAAATTTGACAACCAATCTGTGAGTTTGTTTTTATATGCTAAAATGAAAGATAAGTAAGGTGTTCTGATTTATTGAGGGCCCTTAACATACAACTCTACTTACATCTGCAAACACTCTTGTAAATTGGAGCATCCATTTGTGTGTCCCATGTTCAAGCCACCAGCATGGCAGCTTGTAACATCTCCCTAGTAAAACACCTTTCTGACTTCCCATAAAGTGCACTTGGATAGTTATCCATGTTTAGTAATCTGATAAATGTATTTCCTGTGGGGTAAAAGAAACAGCACATTACAAAAAACACATTTTCACACTAGATCAATTCACTTTATTGACAATAGTACATTTGACAGAAAGACTGACTGTATCTTGAACATTAATTTATAATAAGTCTTTAGGTTCTGGGTGGGACTCCACTGAGTCTGTAAGTAAGCTGCTGTAGTTGTGATGGTGTGGAACACATGAAACACATCTGATACCTGAAACAAGAAAAACAACAAAGATGAGTACTGCATCTTGAAAGATAAAAGCAAGCAGATATTCTATGTAAGGCGTTGCAAATAAAAACATTTTAAATAATCTGATGCTTCCAGAAGTTCAGATTTGATGGAATTCCAAAATCATGATTTTTAAGTGTGAACAGCATGTTTTTATCACAGTAGGAAGGAAAATACATGTACCTCTGTAGTAGCTGTCTAGTATTTGTCCAGGCCCAGCTGCTCGGGTGTCTTGATGCCCAGCTCGTCCAGTGTAGGCTGGATCTCCTGCAGGATGTACGGGTAGATCTCCGCAGCTCTCGGACCTCCCTTCGCCTGCAAAAAAATTCATTTATTTTGCAATCATGTGACAGTGTAACATTACTTATTCATGACAAATATTTGGTAACTTAAATTACACTGGATGGGACATCACATCACATGAGAGAGGACAACTGTGAAGCAACCTAAAAGTTTTACTACAAGGAACAGCAGGATTTAGTTGTGATATCCTACCTTTATGACCTCCAAGACACGTATGGCTGATGCACTGTCATTTAGACGACGGCAGGCTTGGAGAATAGCAACAATGATTCTCGGCTCAGGTACAAGGTCATAGCCAATCAGTGTGTTTACACCCTGCAAAAATTAGATGGGTATAAATAATGCATTCCAAACACAAAATGTGAAACTTGAGGTCTTTCCCAGGCATACCACTTAAGCATAAAAAACTATAATTCCAGTACATGATTTAAGTCTACCTAATACAGGTACACAATGTACTTAGCATGTTGCATGCAATAACCCAAAAGATATTTTCTTTCGCAAAATAGTAAATACCATCATGCATACATTGGGAAATAAGTTAGTTTGAAAATTTGAGATCTCCCAACAGTAGTGCCCTAACAGATTGATAGCAAAACGTATCCAGCAGACCTGTTCTTATGTCCCCTAATGTATTATTACACTAATTGATGGATACCTTGCGTGTACCTCGGCGTGGGTTTTCTTTTTACCCACGCTAAATTTTTAGCGTATTTTACCCTGCGTTTTACCAATCAAAACAATAAACAACTCCCGCTAAGGAGAACCCAGTAACATTTAGATTCCATTTGATCAAATTATTTGTGGATGTGCTGTCATTTCAGCCGTATTATTCATCGGGAAAAGCGGCCTCATGCACGGCCGTGCCGTGTACACTAAGATTTTTGTACGCAGTTTACATGGCCTGACACGCGATTCGGAGTCTCATAATATTATTTTTAAGATCGGTATAGCATTATAACAATTTTAGAAAGAAAAAGTATCACATGTAATCACATATAGTAACATAATTTCATCTTAAATTGAACACAACTTGGGGGGACATAATCACTGACGGGGAAACATCCACACCGACGGGGAAGAGACGTGACGGGGAAAAGACGTGACGGGGAAACGACTAGAAATCATAGAGACACCTTGCTAGCTTGTGTAGATCAATCTGGTACCAATGCAAATGGACTTTTTTTTAAAGTACACAGATACTAGCATGAGAGATTTGCTTTTCTATAGTTCTTAAGACTTCTGTATCAAAGTTCCACCTCCCCTGATCTCACCTTCCGCAGCTCCCAATCGTCAATGTCCTGTTTGCTGAAGAACTCGACCCAGCGACTATCAAACTCCTCATCAGACATCACACCTCCACCCGAGGCATTCCGCTGGGCACATACGACTGGCCAAGGAAAAAACAACATGATTGTACACTTCTGATACAATAAAATGCAAAAGTGAAACCAGTCGCATTGTTAAGAAGTTAAATCAAATTCTTATTGGGGACCCATTGGGATATGCATGGAGGTATTTTTTCTACCTCCATGGGATATGCAGTATGAAAAAAGTTTGGAGCGCTTCAGATGGTTCATCTCCAAGCAGATGTCATGAAAATAATTTTGTATGTTTTGGCCTGACTGGCCAGGGTTCACTCAAAGCCACTACCCAAATTATTTTATGCTCAACTCTGAAACCACTACCCTAGGATTTTGAACTTTCTATCCCAAGACTAGCCGTGGCGACTCTTGATTCGGGCTTACATTGCATTACCCTCAGCAAGAGTCGTGGAAAGATCCATTGGCAGAACTGCACATTTCCCGTTGGCTGCACGATGCTCCGTTTTTGACCCGGTTTTTTGCTGTCCCGAGCTTCCCTACAATATAACTCCACAATTGGCCGGGTTGCCGATGTTTAGATCAGCCTAAATATTCCACAGCGCGACAGAAAAGTAGTAAAATAGCTAGTCGGCACAAGCTGGCGGCCATCTTGGATATAGTCGGGAATGTCCGCTACCGCCGTCGGGAACGCTC